ATGGACTCTTAGCATGGCCTATAGAGTCAAGCATCCAGCTAGTATGGCTAGGACCAGATCCGGCCGATCACGGTCCCATGTATGACGAGTGGGAGTTATTACGCTCCCAAGGTAACGCGGAGGCATGCTTGAGCGTATCGTGCTGGTACATTTCCGGAGGGTTTGAAGGAACCTTGGCATATGTTGATCTTGTACCTTCCTATGTCAACACAAACAATAGGGGTTTAGGGGAGTTGAGAGTTGACATCGAGTGAACTATAAAACGCAAAGCCTCCCTCATACTCTACCTAAGTATATATTTGGGTACTCGGTGCCTCCAATATCCTATCATAGAGTCGATTCATCCCGATCACACCCAGAAATAGTCTCATGTATATGCGGGGGAGGACTCGGGCTGCTGACTGGCCCGTCGAGCCGGTCAAGTACATGAACATTGTAGCCCCTAGAGCAGCCAATCCAGTCCAGAGGGCGCGGACCTTGCGGAAGAATATAAAATGGTGGCCGACGGACATTGCCCCACCTCTCCTGAATTGACCGAGTTGGTCAAAGCACCGTTTAAACTGTATTCTGGAATGTTAATATTTCGTCGTACCTACTCGCTTAGATAGGTATAGCTTCTAGTCTACGTTTAATGAGGATTTCAAAGGACTTGAAGGCCTATACGAGGCTCTCTATATCTGAGCAGGCTACTCCGTACAGCGGGCTATATATACTTGCATGTCTTTCTTACTATACATAAAGCTGCAGATCATATTCCAGATATGACTAGAGTGTTCACTTGCCTCTGATGGCGTCCAAAACCAGAAAGTTCTTGGCAAGCTGACTGCATAGTGCAGAGCCTTTGCAGTTTCTAGGGTTGGCATCATCATACGTTGACGTTGACCCCAGGGAATCCCTTGCTACGGAGTAGTTTAGATCGGGGTATATGAGTATCTTAACCCGGATTTTAGAAATTTTGAATATTATACCGAAAGTGTATACAGAAGTACTCCGTACGGAGTAGCATACAACATACATTAGGGCAACAATGCCAATGTTTTAAGTGGGGGCAAGTTTCCATTGAACATTAATATAGTATACTCCGTGAAAGTACAAAATACTATACACAAGTAACAGTTGAATAATAAGTAATAGTAACTATCAGACAGGCAAGCTCGACGCTTAGGCACACGACCCCCCGGTGCCCCCGTCCAATCTCCGGTGACCGGCCCCGTCAGTGACGAATAAGAGGCTTTGGGTTGCCGGGAATTGCCGCGTACTTGAGATATTCGAAGGAATTGGTATTAAAAAGCAATAGGTTCTTGACATTAATATAGAATATACTATAGACTTATATAGTCTACAAGACACTAATAGAAAACAGGTTAGACATAGAAGTAATAATAAGTGTTAAAAAAGAAAAAAAACATCTCCTTTTCCTCGTATATTTTTACATTACAATTTTTATGAAAAGCCCCTCCATAAGGTAATACACACCCACATCCCCCCCATCTCTCCTTTTCTTCTCTTCATCCTTCCAATTTTTGGACTCTGCCTCGTTGACTCGTGGTAGAAAATACTCAGAGGGCCTATTTCCTGTAAGTGCCTTATTTTCCAATTGGAAACATTTCTATATACTCTTTGAGAAAAAAAAAAATACCCCCAAATTTTACCGAGACTGGGATTTATTATTTTATTTTTTTAATCCCAAAACTTGGTTACTTTCTTTTAATGTGTTGAAAGAACAGTTGAAGATCTCCGGTTGTGTTGTGGATCGAAGCTCACATTTTTTTTTTCTCGACAGATCGCCTCTGACCGGATCATCTTCCTCCCCCTGAACTGTCGCACTTTCGGTTTGGATCTCGACAATGTCTTCGTTCTACGAACCTCAGGGCTGGCAAGCACCCGCTGCGCGCCAGGCCTCTTGGGAGCAGCCGGCGCCTCCCTCCCGGTCAGGTATGGGATCAAACAGCCGAGCACCCCCGGAGCCCAAAAAAAAAAAAAAACTGACATATAACAGGATCGAGTTCGGTCTCCCAGCGCGAGGATATCCCGGCCTTTTCCTCCCAATTTGACGGTACGAATACACTTCTACTTGGATCTTTATAATGGCTTCTTCAAATCCGAATCGCATAACACCCCGGGGGAAAAGTTGGTTTTGAAGAGGCGGTTATGGAGATGACCCGGGCATACTTTTTTTTGGGGGGAAACCTTTTGGGACGAGTGCTGATCTTTTTTTTTTTTTTACAGAGGTTGATCGTGCGATCGACAATCTCGTCAAGAGCGGGAAGTTGTGGAATGCTCCTCGGCGGGATTCGATGCCCATGATGATGGGCCGGCCCTACCCCGACTACGGTATGTTGCGGGCACGGATGGCACCCAGAACGCGTTTCTGACTTGTCTCTTGACAGACCCTCGCATGGGTGGTGGCCCTCAGCGACACCATTCGATCAGCGAGTTCGATGGCAACCGCATGCCCCCGTCTGGCAATGCCCAGGGTTTCTATGCCTCCCAGCGGTACCAGGGTCGTCCCAACGAGGTGGAACAGATGATGCAGGCGAAGCGTCGGATGGCAGCACAGCGTGAGAGGGAACTCCGCAACTATCACCAGGAGCAACAGTACAACCGAAGTACGTGGTAGCGTCTGTCTTCTTCTTCTTTTTGAGCCTCGTTATATTCCCCCGTCGGCTTTTTTCTTTTTCATTTTCACTTCCTTGCATCTATGTATCCGTCGGCCTGTGTAATATATTTGGTTTGGCTTCTTCGCTTTTCTTTGAACACGGGGTTTTAATACTTTTCTTCTTCCTTTCAAGGCCTCCTCGCCGAGATGTCTGCATCCAAATCCGACCGCTCCACCAGCCCAGCTGCCGTGAGCGAGGACAGTCGTCGCGAACTCCTCGCCCGCCAGCACCGCGCCCTGTACGGCAACGAAAGCCCAGCCTTCTTCCCGCCCGGTGCCTTCTCCGATGATAACCCACGCCCAGATAGCCAAGCCGGCACCCCGTCGTCCGGTGTCCGTGGATCCTCCCCGCGAGGCATGGACCCATTCGGCCTGACACAGGCCGGCGCCGCTAGCGATGCCACCACCGGCCTGCAGTCGCCCTCGCGCGCCAACAGCACCTCCTCGCCTAGCCCCGCCATCAACGCCAGCTTCGGTGAGCAGCCCGTAACTTCGGCCTCGTCGCCCGGCGCCGACTCGCCCTCATCCCGCCAGGCTGCTTCCAAGCCCGTCGCTGGTCCTATCGGCTCCGTCGGTCCCATCGGTTCCCGCCCTGCCCCTGGTCAGACATCTGCGCCCGCTGGCAACCCCGCCTTGAACAAGCGCTCCATCACCCCTCTCCCCTCGCCGCTCGGGCTCGGTTTCACTCCCGCTGACCCCACTGCTGGCCCCGCTGCTGAGCGCACCTCTTCCGCCGGCCCTAGCCCAGCTGTGACCTCCGCAGCTGGCACCCCTGGTGCCAAGGACCAGACTGGTGGTGTTGGCCTCGGTTGGAGCAACGGCAGTGGCGTCTGGAGCTCTAAGAGCGGACTCGGCGTGCAAGCTTCTGTCTGGGGATAAATTACCACAACCCCGGATTTCTGGTTTTTTTGATGGCATTACTCCAAATGGGCGCTTGTTGCATATCGGACTTGGGGCATTTTCTTGCTTGTGGCGTTGTGAAAAGAGAAACAGAACAGACAGCTTCCATTGCTCTGGACCCACGGACTCTGAGCACGGTATATATCAAGAATGACGGGGATACCGTCCGTCTTCTTGCACTCTACCGGGCTTGATGTCTTTTCATGCGTTGCTTAATCTTGTTCTCTGGGGTTTGAGCTGGCTTACTACCAGGCGGGGAAAAAAGAACGGGGTTTACTGGGATTTTGGAAATATTTCCCCAAATGGTCGGATCTGTCTGGATGATATGATGCCTTATTCCCCTGTTAGGTCTTGGGTTCATGTTATTTTTGTTTTGCTTTGTTTTTGCTATTCCGGTGCCCGTGCGAATATGGTCGGAAATATGGCGCTTTATCTGTGATGCTCGTGGGCTATGTATGGGCTGTCTCATTTTTCTCGGTGTTTTTCATGTCGGATGCACAGGTCTTTTTTTTTCTATCTTTTCTTCATCTTTTGGGGGTGGTGGTACGGGAAATTTGCACATTGTGACTTTTATTTTAATTTTGGATGCCTGTTTTTAACTATATATCTCCATATGGAGATGGGAGGCGAACAAAGGCTCAAAACGGATATTTCTTGGATTTGGACGCTTTTTAATTGTTTTCTCTTTTGCTTCTCTTGAATGGTGAGATTTGACCATATGCAGTAATAAGAAGGGTTAGAGTTACTGGAGTCTGTTTACTATATTCAACGGATTCTGGGTTTCGTTTGGACTCTTTGGGCTTGTTATGGACTTTTATCAAAGGAATATTGTGTCCTTATATATCCATGGATATCTATAACTATCGATTTCTCCTTGTTACTCGGTATCTTGTCCTACAAAGGCACTATAACGTGTCTGGCTTCATGACACAGTAGTCATCCCTTCTTGTTAGGGCTTCTCATCTGTCTTATGTATTCAGGTTGTGTTCTGATCTCGTTCGGCGAGCGTTGCCAGACTACACTGATATAAGATTGTCTTTCCATTACAGCTCAGTCCTAGTACCAGGGGTTTCACCGTTGCTTCTGGAGTACGCTGACTGGGTACATAGATACTCAGAACAGATGGTAAATTGTGTATTGATTTATTCCCGAAATAAATATTGGTAGTTTAATCTCAACAAGATAGAAGTAGTAATTGTCCGAAAAGAATTAAGCATTAGTTGAAAGCACGCAAAAAAAATCGTCTTCTTCTCTCCTGGTTCAGCATCGAAATCACCCCGGGACATTTCAGTGACCGGGTAGCGGTGACACGAATTTGAGGGGCATCTGACACACCACAGAAAACAAAATCTAAAAGATTCTCCTATCTTTGCAGTCACATCCATGACCCCCCAAGGATATACAAAAGGGGGGGGGGGGGGGAGATTCACCGCGGCTAAAATCAGACAGAGCTGGTATTCACCGTGGGAGTGTGCTCAGGGACATGCTCAGGATCTTGATCATGATATTCCGCAGCAGAAGGAACGGCATGGATGATCTTCCTCTTCGCAGTGAAAAGACCGACAATACCACGCTCCTGGTTAGTCCCAAGCCAGGGCTTGCGGGATTCACTCAAGACCTTCTGGGCAAGGAAGTAGATGAGTTGACCAATAATGATCAGCACAAAGGCAATCGGGTACATCCAATGGATCTTGTAATGGAAGACCTCGACGCCAATGATCACACCCCAGAAGTTCATGGTGAGCATGGAGACGTTGAAGAAAGCCGCCGAGGAGAGACGGAACAACAGCGGAGCGAGACAGTAGAACAAACTCAGACACAGCGTGTAGCCGGTGAGGTATCCGCCGACCTTTCCGTTCCACTGCGCATTGTTGAAGGAGGTCCGGTCAAAGATGCCGGCCTGCGCGCCGTTGATTATCATTCCAAAGAATGACATCTGTCCGAGCACCTCGTACACGGGCCGAGTGCTGACGAAGTACTCCTCCCCCGTGTTGGTGAGACCATAGAAGGACGCGCCGAGCAGCGCAAACAGGTCGCCCTTCAGCTGATTGCCTTTGGATATGTCTCCGCCGTTCGTGCCGGTGATGTGATCCGAGGCAATGAGGATGCCCATGCCGCCGATACAGATCACAATACCTGCCACTTGGGTGAAGTGGTATCGCACGCGCAGGAAAGTGAATGAGATTACGACGACCACGACGATGGCCCAGAAGTTGATCAGTTGCGCGCTTAGCATGGTTGTGTATTGGTATGCTAGCACAATGAAGTAGTTGCCTTCTACATCACAGAAAGCAAGGATGATGTCTGCGGTGGTTAGTCGGGACTATACATCAAATATGTGGGGGGAGGAAAATTGGGGCATACATTTCCAGCCGTCACGGTATACCAGTCGGAGCCAGCCCTTAAAGCCGTAACGGTACATCGTATAAGGAGTAAAAATGGCGTTTAGTAGGACATAGTTTAGGAAGGTCTGGAACGCAGGGACTGCCCAATGTTCCTGGCCAAGTAGTGTTGTGAAGGTACTGGTCGAGGTATTGGCAATGGCGAGGATTTGACTGCGAGCAATTGAGTTAGGTTTTGAGGATTGATTTGTAGTTTTTGATGTGCCACTTACCCTAGAAGCACGGTGATATAGAATTCTTTGGTCCTGAAATAGGCAAAAAACCCTTTCTTCTGATCGACCAGGTCCGCAGGTTGCACAGGGGGCTCAGAGGCTTCCGCCTGGGAACTCGAACTCTGTGCGACGACCTGAGCATCTTTAGGTAGTGCATGGTCTACACCAGATGCCTGGACAGTGATGTGGTCCTTCGATTCAGACATCGTGCGAGCTTCGAAAGCGGGGTATTTGAATGCAAATGGCAAACCAGTTGCAGATTGAAGTAACAGACTAAAAGGGAGCTTTATGAAAATGAAACGAGCGCAAAACTCCCGAAGTCGCTCGTGTATCGATATACTGTGGGTGATGAACTTTGAATGAAGCAGAAATCTCAAACCTTAGAAGTAACCCGAGACAGTCTGGAACCTTTCCTGATCGGGTAATCTTCGATAAGAATCTTCCATGTTATAAACAGCCAATCAGAAAAGGGAAAGTGGGGGCGGTGAGGGTCTGTGCTGCGGACAGAGCCGTCCATCTGGTCTTTTATGTCAGCAGCTTGAGGTAAGGCGGCTGGTACTTGGCGGATACTTCAAGAGAAAGCCAGTCACCAGCCTGACGGGAAGTACTTCCCGTGTACCCCTCGTAATTATGTGGAGATCTATGCGTTTGGCCTTGCAGAGAATATTTATAGATTTATAGATTGATAGATGAATCTTAAATTATTAAGTACAATATACTACAGAGTATAGACATAAATCAGACATAGCTGTTATGAATACTTTTATGACACATAAACTCCATTCCAAAACCCCTGAGAGAGAACATTGATGGATTCCCCAGCTCTGCCGATCATGGAAGAACACCAGAATGACGAAGATTTAACTACTTTAAATTTTAGCATAAGCTGCATTCCTACTGTATTTCTGTCCACAATATATACATAGGTACATAGTCCCAGGTATATAGCCTGAAGTTGTTAAGAGGTATTTCCGTACTTTAGGTAGCTTAGATAGAGATAAAGATAAAGATGAAATAGGGATATAGATAATTCTAAAAGATCCGAAAGTTCCCTTCCCTTGATATCTTCTACAGAAGCTTCTTTTTTTCCAAAACTCTCGTGTTCAAGGGGAAACCGAAAATCCCAAGTACCTGCCGAGGCCATCAGGTGGACCAGGTCTGTTCCCCGATCGTCATCCCCTCCGCAGACTCTTTCATCATTGCGATCTCCACCTCCATTCCCTCTTTTCGTCCCTTTCAAACCTTTTCTAAACAAGGCTCTACACAATCCTCCGATAACCTTTAATTTTATTTTTTTTTCCCACCGCCCTTTGGCTCTCCTCTCGCGCCGGTGCACTTTTATCAGGCCCGGAGTGACGAGACGCCGTTCCCTGTTCCTGCCAGACCATGGCGCTGGAAGTACAGCCGCCCGACGGTCGCAAACGAGTGAAGGTCTATGAACTAAAAGATAATGATTGGTTTGATCGAGGGACTGGCTTCTGCACGGGTCAGATCTTAGGAGTGAGTTGTCGCGTGTTGTGCGCGCACTGGGGGTGCGACGATGTTACATCGCGCGCAATCCCGAGCGCATCACCATCATCATCAGTAACTAATCGCTTTGAAATAGGAGGAGCCTCGCATATTTGTCGAATCAGAAGACCTGCCCAATCGCGTCCTGCTCGAAACGCGGATCACCAAGGACGATGGCTATCAAAAACAACAGGGTACCTATCCCGCGATTATCGTCCCATCGCTGTTGAGTGTCCCTTTTATCTAACTGTATCGCGCGATCCAGAGACTTTGATTGTTTGGACGGAGCAGAATGGCACGGATATGGCGCTGAGTTTCCAAGAGGCGGAAGGTTGTGCAGTCATTTGGTGAGGAATCAACAAAAATCTTTGCGCGCATGAACTAATCCTTTCAAAGGGACTTTGTCAATGCCGTTCAACAACATCTCTTGAGTCTCACTTCAGCTGGTAAGGTTTGTCGCGTGTTTGGAAGCTGGCAGCTCTAATTGTTTCCCAAGATGACGCCTTGTCCGACGACCTCGATAGCTACCAGTCCATCGTATTACCGGCCCCCGAACTCGGAAACCTCCCCGAAATCGAACAGATTGTACGAGCTGCGAGCATGACACAGGGTGGCCGAGATGCGTTATCCAAGTACATCATTCGCGACGAATACATCGCCAAATTGGTACCGCTAGTGGCAATGGCCGAGGATTTGGAGAGCTTAATCGATTTGCATCGTTTGTGCAACATCATGAAATCTCTCATTTTGCTCAATGACAACACCATCATCGAAACCGTCGTCGCCGATCATGTCATCCTCGGAGTGGTCGGGGCGCTGGAATGTATGTTCTCCCGGGCTTCATCCTGACCCAAAGGCCAATGCAATTGATGCTGATAACAACAGATGACCCTGAATTTCCCACACATAAAGCAAACCACCGGCAATACCTCGCAGACAAATCGCGATATAAGGAAGTCGTCCCGATTAAGGATCCGCTCATTCGCCGCAAGATTCGGAGTACATGGAGACTGCAATATCTAAAGGATGTGGTCCTAGCTCGGATCTTGGACGACCCGACATTTTCGGTGCTCAATTCTCTCATATTCTTCAATCAAATGGAGATTGTGAATCACATCCAAGCAAATGGGCCGTTCCTGCGAGACCTATTTCAAGTCTTCGACCCGAGAAATCCAGACCAGAGGCGCAAGGATGACGCCGTACAGTTTCTTCACCAGTGTGCTGGCATCGCGAAGAACTTGCAGGCGCCGTCACGGGCCCAATTATTCGCCAATTTTATTAGCCATGGCTTGTTTGCCGTGATAGCATTTGCCGTCAAGCACTTGAATCCAGCTATGCGTACAACTGGAATTGATATCTTAGTGGCTCTGTTGGATCATGATCCAGTCATGATGAGAGGTTATATGCTCAAGGCTGTCAACGAGAAAAAGACACCACTCACAGATACCTTGATCGACCTTCTTCATGTGGAGACCGACCTTGGCGTCAAAAACCAACTGGCTGATGCTATCAAGGTGCTCCTTGATCCTCAGATTCCTATGCAGGATCCGCTTGGTCGGGCTGGACCCGATTACTTCAAAGTTCGCACCAACAACCTTCTCTCTGATGCATTTGTCCAGCAACATTTTGATGAGTCCTCCAAAAGGCTTTTCCAACCGCTTAAACAGCTTGCAAATCGCACAACTCGTAAGTGGTGAGATCCTTTGTTGGTGAAGACTTTGCTAACTTTGAGTCTAGTTAATGATTTGACATTCCAAGAGGTCACCCTCTATTCGCATCTTGTTGATATCCTCACCTTCTTCGTCCGCCAACATCTTTTCCGTACACGTAACTCTATCCAGAGTGAATCTCTCGCGCCTCGCGTTGCACAGCTTCTGCGGGTACCCCAGAAACACCTCAAACTCGGTGAGTTGACATCTTTTTTTGTAACCCTGAAGCCATAGCTAATACCAACAAGTCGCCCTCAAATTCTTCCGCACCTTGATCAGCCTCCAAGATACCTTCTACCAAGCTCTGATGACACACAATAACACTTTCGAGTTGATTCTCGACATCGTTTATGAGACAATGCCCCGCGACAACTTGCTCAACTCGGCCTGTCTTGAACTTTTCGAATTTATCAAGCGGGAAAACATCAAGCCTTTTATCCTTCATGTGGTCGAAAAATATCGCGAGAAGCTCGAGAACATCGTTTATGTCGATACCTTCCAGAGCTTAATCCTCCGATATGACCAGATGCAGGGATACGGAGCCGAGGCCGACGCGGCACTGTTCAGTCAGGATGACAGCAACGCCCCACGGAGAATTCCCCTCAATGGCCAGCGCTGGCAGGGTGCAAGAGAGATGGACCCCGCGGAAGAGGATTATTTCAATACGTCTGACGACGAAGACGAGGTAGGTACCTTTTGGATTGAGACAATTGGAGCAAACGACTGACCAGACAAGATAAAGTGGACACAGGACCGTGCGGCCACTGCGGATGAACCTTCGGGCGAACCCGCCCCTACGGTTGTCAAATCATTGGTTGACTACCCAGATGACGACGACGAGGACATCATGGACACCAAACCCGAAGGGGCAGAACAACAGCCAGTGGCCAGTCCAGTTGAGACTTCCACTGAGGTTCCTGCATCACCACCCACCCAGAACCCCCTGCACCGGAGCGACTTGCAGAGAAGCGTCGCCGCGAGGAAGAAGACGATGACGAGCTTAGCAAGCTTACTGCGGGACCGGGGCCCAAACGAAGAAGTTCAACTAGCAGCAATTCTGGCGCCTTTATCATGAATCGGAAAAAGTCTGCCGGCTCACTGGCAGACAAGAATGCCCCACCGGGTGTTTTAAATAGAGTCACCAGCGCCGCGCCCAAGAGAATCGCCATCAATATTGGATCAACGGCCAAACCGCCCATTTCAGAAACAGACACCCGTACAGAGGTGACGAGTGAGAGTTACGAGAAGGAGGATCGCGACGACAGTCAGGGTAACGAGGGTGGATGAATTTACCTCATAAGCCAGGCGTTTTTGTTGAATTAAGTTTCCTTTTCCATGACCTAGATACCAGACTTGGTTGCGGGATTTCCCATATTTCATCTCTTGTTCTTTGGGCGATGTCCTTTCTTCTTGTTTCGTTTCATGTTTTTAAGGGTATTCCTCGCCCGTTCTCCTCCTGGTCTTATGAGGTGTTGCCTTCTATGGCCTGAACTAGCGTCTGAATGTTGATGTACATGGCATGGCGTCTGGGCAATGCATTGGATCTAGCCTTGCGGTGTCTATTCTTTTTATTTTCCTGGTCGGACTTAGATACCGACCAGTGGAGGATTCCTGGATCCGCCGATGGAGTCGTTGCAATATATCCTGCTATCTTCATGGTGCTACCTGTTGGAATTATCTGTAGTGCCGTAGGTACGGCCTGCAGAGTACCTGCTCTGCCCACCAAATACCTATACAGACTAGGAATATCTATCTCGGTGATTCTTTTTTTTTTTTAGTGCTTCCTGATACACATCTTATATATTTCTGGGCAATCAAGGGACTAGCATGGGTACCTAGGTCTAAATGTAGAGTGTTTGGATCCACCAGCCAAATCAGACTTCACCTCCCTATCAATTCCAGGCAATCCATTCAGCTACCCCAGAGGAATCATATACGCGAAAAATATATACAAGAAAGGGGCACAATTTGTGTAAATATATCCCTTCCATTGTTTTATCTTCACCTAGACAACCACTAACCAAGTCCAGACAACCCTACAACCCCGTGGCCATCTATACCCTGGATGAAATCTACATGAGACAGCTCTACAGAAGATCTAATGATTCAAGCCAAACAAAAAATGGCACCCGAAATTACCCCAAACATCTTTCTCACCACCACAGGTTCTCCGTCAGACCAGAAGACGACAATCTTCTTCATCTCCGGCAACCCGGGTCTGATCGGCTACTACCACCCGTTCCTCTCTCTACTCTCAAAGTATCTAGACGAGCCAAAAGACCAACATTCACCAAGCTTACCATCATTTCAAATCTACGGCTGTTCTCTCAGTGGCTTTGAAATCGACGAACACCAGCCCTCACCGTCACAGAACAATGGCATCGATCTCGATCTTGAAGATCAGATCTGCTTTGTTCAGGGAAAGCTCGCTGCACTGGTGGGAGATGAAGCCAACGGTAACGGTAAATATAAAAATACCTTGAATGCCGGAACCAGACAGAAAGTCATCCTAATCGGACACTCCGTTGGCGCATATATCGCCATGGAAATTTTACGACGACACCGCGAGGAAAGCCCAGAAAGTGGCTTTGATATCGTCGGCGGAGCAATGCTCTTCCCGACTGTCAAGGACATCGCAGCATCGCCTTCGGGACAGAAATTGACGGTACATACTATATTCCATATTTCGCTTGCCAGATGCTGCGTTTTTGTTTCGTTGCATGCTAACCTCGGCTCCGGCTATGTAGACTCTACTATCAATCATTCCACGTCTTGCTGTGGTGGTTAGTTTCCTCGCCCGACTACTTACATTCCTGCTCCCGGTATCGCTTCTTCGATCTGTGGTCCGGCTCGTCATGGGTGATCCTCCCGTTCATGCTTTGGACACTACGTGTGCTTTTTTGAAAAGTCCGCGTGGTGTGCGGCAAGCTTTGTATGTGTGATGTTCTTTTTTGGCTGTGGGTTGGAATTCGCTAATTACTTCTTCACCTGACTAGATATATGGCTGCTGATGAAATGCGGACTATCACTTCGGACAAATGGAGTGATGATGTCTGGGGCGCTGCATCGGCGCGTGAGCCTATCGCTAAGCTGTTTTTCTATTTTGGTCGTAATGATCACTGGGTAGCTGATCAGACGAGGGATGAGATTGTTGCGGTGCGCGGGCGAAAGGGAGGACAAGATGGACCGACTATGGTTGTTTGTGAAGACGGATTACCGCATGCCTTTTGTTTGAGTAAGTGGCTTTTTATTGACTTCGACTACGATACAAAGCCTTGCTGACAGTTTGTAGAACACAGTGATGTGATGGCGCGAAAGGTTGCGGAGATGATTGGGCAAATTGTGGCCTGAAGGAGAGGCTATGTTTTTTAAATCTATGCATTGGAATAGACAGGAACTACATAAAGACAAATGAATTTCGCCACTGGCGCAGATTGTAACGGGTATCTCAAGAGACGTTACGCCACGTCCATTCCCATCCGAATGACAAAGTGCCCCAAGCTATTCAAATATGCAGGAATAAATCATAAAGCTAGACGCCATGTACAAATGATCGAGGGGTCCGAAGAAACCATTCGGCACTCTTCTAGTGCCCCTGTCCCTGCCCATTGCCTTGTTGAGCTAGTCCTGCCCTCCGAAACAGATCTCCTAGCACATCGGATTGCGGCTGCGGCGGGGGAGTAGGAGATGGCATCTGGTGAGGCATCATGTGTTGATAGTTAGGCTGTTGTGGGTATGGCTGTGGGTGCTGCTCGGGGCCCATATGGTGTGCGCGCACACTCCAACCGTCGTCCTGGGCGCGCTGCTGGCCAAACAGATCCTTCAGCGAAATCTGACGTCCCATTGGCACCCCAGCCTGTATTTCTTCCATGGGGGGAGCCTGTGTGGAAGCCGCTACTGCCGCGAGGTGTAAGCTGTTCTGGCGCATAGCCTCGAGGCGCTCGCGAGCTAGCTTCATGCTCTCCCCGGCGTGGGTGGCGCACTCGAGAATCATCTGGGCGTTTATGATGCGACTCTCTGCGGTGGAGTTCGGCGGTGGCTCTGAGTAGATCCAGAGACCGTAGATGCGCACGTTGTTCGTGCCACTCTGGTTGTTGGGCACATTCTGCGGGTGCAAGGGGTCGGCGATGCCATTCTGTCCGGCTTCGCCTTCGGAGCTTTCTTCGGCTTTGAGAATCACATAATCATCTGTAATTTCGACATTCTCGCCGTCGGTGAGGGGGAGATCGAAGTTGTTCAACCCGCGGCGGTTTAGCACGAAGGCAGTGTAGCGCTCTTCACCTAGGTCACCTTGTGTTTCCTGGCACACAAACAGTGTGCCCTCAACTCCGTTTTTTTCCCATTGTTTTGTGGTGGGGCTGAAGATGTAGACCACTGCGTAGGGGGCTAGTGATAGGATGGAGGTCACTGAGGGCTTGTGGCGGCGGATAACGGAGAGGTTGAGCTCCTCGTTCGAGCGGGGCGGGGGTGCAGGTTGTTGCTGCATGTCGGAATAGTATGGGGCATCAGATTCATAATCGGTGAGGTTGACAGGGTTATGATTGTTCTGTCTCCGAGGTTTGCGTGAAGTCATGTTTTCTGTGGGAGCCATTGGAGGTGTGAAAGATATGGAAGGAGCTCGGCATATCGTCATTGCTCCTCCTTCGCGCTTATCCGCTTCTCTCTCTACTTTCTACTCTCTACTCTCAAACCTCTTCTCTTTCGAACCCCAAGAATTTTGGATACTGGCATATATTTGATTCCTTTCTGATTGGTTTCAAACATATTTCTGTTCCCTGTGTTATACGTCATGGCGATACGGCCCTTCTAAACCTTGGTGGGATGAACCTCTGTGATGAAATGACCAAGCCATTGTCGCATTATACAACTGTTTCTCTCAATTCTTTCTATTTATCTTATGGTAGCCATCGTCGCCTTTTCCCTCTATTGCGACAAACCTCACAGCCTAGCTTCCCTTGCCGGAATTAAGAACCGCGCAAGCGACACACTACTTACATACACCACGCTACATACTGGTACCCTACCAAGCCTCAACCCACAGCCAAGTGAGGTGAAGAATCTCTCTCACTTGCTGATTCCACCGCATATTCATACACCATGAGCACCAAATCGCAAACCTCGTCATCCGCTTCAGAGCACAAGGGCCACGAGTCGGAATATGCAGAAGAGATCAAAAACCCAGGACTCGACGTTTTGTCACTTTCGCGTGCGGTTAGAGCAAGAAAAGACGAATACACGCGCCGGCGATCTGTCCGAGTCAAGGTCGGCACGTGGAATGTAGCCGGCATCTCCGGCACCGAGAAAGACATTGGCAGGTGGTTTGTGCAAGGAGACGGGGTGTGCGAGAGGTTCTCTGGGACAAACTACGCAAGGGATTCAGAATCTCAATCGCCCAGCAAGAATGACCAGCAGAAATCAGACGGCGCCAAAAAAGGAATCTTTCACTACAGTCCCGAAGAGATAGACCTCTACGTCTTAGGTTTACAAGAAGTGGTCGATATCTCATCCCCAACGGAAGCACTCCGACCATATGTCGACTTGGCGCCGTCTAAGCGGTGGAAGGAAGCAGTCCAAAAGGCGCTACCTGAAGGATATCAGCTGGTCTCTGAAGTTCAGCTGGTCGGCTTGTTTCTTCTGATATATGCGTCGCCCGCCATTGGAGACAGTATTTCTTCTATCAGTAGTACCTCTGTTGGTACCGGGCTGATGGGGTACATGGGAAACAAGGGCGCCGTGATAACGCGACTTGTCCTGGGCGAAACGACCCGTTTGGTCTTTATCAACTGTCATCTCGCAGCAGGGTCCGACAAAGGCAGTTTAGAGCGACGCAACTGGGACTCTTCTCAGATTGTCCAGCGTGCTAAATTTGACTCGGTTTGGTCCGAGGGTGACGAATCGGGTGAATCGAGCGAAACGATTGGAGATGAAGATTTCACCTTCTGGTTTGGTGACCTCAACTACCGCCTTGATGATATCTCTGGCGACGACGTACGCCAAGTCCTCGCTCGGCATACTGCCAATGAGTATGACAAAGCGCACCAATCAAAGCAGCCGTCAAGCCGTTCTGGTGACTCTACGGCAGATTTTGGTGATGAGTCGCCTACTTCTTCTTCTTCTTCTTCTTCTTCTTCTCCCCCCGAAGAAGAGGAGACGGGGCCAGCCACCGACCCTGTCACTGACGAGGAGATCGATCCTCATAATGACCCTGCATCTCTTCAAACTACAATTTCCTCACTCCTTCCACACGATCAACTCGGGCTTCAACGGAGAAAAGGAGCAGCTTTCCACAAGGGCTGGCGGGAAGGAGACATCACATTCTTGCCGACGTACAAATACGATGTCGGGAGTGTGGCCATGTTTGATACGAGCGAGAAGCAACGGGGTCCTAGCTGGTGTGATCGGATTCTCTTTCGCACTCACCGGGACAAGCTGAGACACGAGAAGCTCGATGAGGAAGCAGAGGTGGCCCGAAAGAGGGACGAGGAGATGAAGGCAAGCGGGCTGGACAAGGCTGTTGCGGATGATAATGTCTTGTTCGAATATGACCCTGATGCAGACGGTGCAAACAGTGAGGAGTACATATCAGACGAGGATCAGGCCGACGATGATGCAGTCACAATTGCATCGTTGGACTCTTCCCACGATCCAATTCGTTTGGACCATTATGTGTCGCATCAAGGCATCCTTTCGTCGGACCACAAGCCTCTAGGTGCCATCTTTACCTTGAGTTTTGATGCTGTCAATCGCGAACTCAAAGCAAAAGTTCATCAAGAAGTTGCCCGTGAATTGGACAAGGCCGAGAACGAAGCTCGGCCCGATCTTACTGTTGTGGTGGATAAATATGGCGACCAAAAGCATTCAGAGAAAGATCCTGACGCCATCGAATTCGGCGATGTTGCCTTTGATGTGCCGACTCATCGGTCCCTAACCATCGCCAACACCAGCGGCACCGCAGCCAGGTTTTCATTTGCGGAGCGGCATAATGTCGACGACGAGACCATTGCACCAGCACCCTCGTGGCTTGTTATGCACATTTCCAAGTCTGCAGAAAACACCCATGACACTGGCCAAGCGATGACTTCTTCGTCTGAGAGTCACACTCTGCTCCCTGGGGAAGTAGCGAATGTCGATGTCACGGCTTACGTTCGCAGCATCGAACACGTTCGGTTGCTTAATATTGGAAAGGTCAAACTAGAAGACATTCTCGTCCTTCATGTTGATGGCGGCCGCGACCACTTTGTCTCTGTTCACGGCCGTTGGCTACCCACCTGCTTCGGTTGTAGTATCGACGAGTTGACCCGCATGCCAGAAGCAGGTGCTCGAAGTTTGGCCGAATCCGACACCCCTCACCCATCCAGCACAGACAGTTCCGGGGAAATTCGCTTGTCCGCACCCCGCGAGCTTTTCCGACTGACTGAGGCGATCTCCGAGTTGACAGAACGCGCTGTTGCAGAGTGGAGCATGACAAATGGTGAATCCGAGGAGCATAAAGCCCCATGGGTAACGGATCTCTCTGGGGGAGCATGGCCCTTCCAGCCTGATACATGGACCCTAAAGGACCCGCAGGTGCGTGCTGCGCTGCAAACTTCCGTGCGCGAAGCCCTTGACACCAACACGGCGCTTGGCTCAATCTTTGCCCCTGAGTTGTCCTCTCTCCATCGGTTAGAGGTCCTATCTGAAACACTCCTCACTTTCCTCAACGCGCTCAAAGACGGCATCGTCACCGCGAAAGTATGGCAAGACATGGAGCAGCAGATAATCGCGCGTGAGAAAAGCAAAGCACCTCCTCGAAACTGGGAAGAAACCCAGGCCTGGGTGCTCGAGCACTTAGCATACTCACCAGCACACAGCGTATCATTCACGTTTGTCACTTTTATGCTCGCCCGCATCGCCAATGAAGTGGCCCCGGTAACCTCCGCTGCACCGATGGTCACACTACACAGGCAAGGGAAACACGGCGCGCCTAAAGAACCGGTAGACAAGCAGCCTGAAACTGCAAGCCCGGATCAAGCTCAATCTCCTACTCCAGCTTCCGCTACTGCCTTCATAACCAGCGGCAGTTTCCGCCGCAAGAATCGGTCCACAAACACATCAACTAGCACCACCCCTGATCCCACAAGTCAGAATCCTTCGATAGCACGCCGACAAGCAGTCGAGACTGCTCTAGCATCTATATTTTCACTCGTCCTTATTTCTGCCTCTGCTCCACTGCCGCCTAAAGAGAAAGAGCGCCGTATATCTGAAGAGCGGAGGCGATCAATCATTGAACCATTCTTAAAGATGATTGCGGTGGATGATCGAGGTCCATCTGGGGGTCGGTCTTGATTTTTTCTGATACAAATGAGAGGTTTGTGGGGGATTTGCCCCTTGTGTTGCGGACCGGCTCCGGGCCATTCTGAAATTTGAAACCTGGACATGATTTGACTCCTTCAGACTTGACTTTTGAAGCTGTTCGATTACATCACGTTGTATCGATGTGTATAATGCCGTACAGATGCTATATCTTCACATTCTCCTCGCCTATAAAGATCAATGATACAGGCTGAGAAACCTTGTATTTGAACTAAAGTCGATATTCTCATCCTACAGTATACGATAGATCATACCTTGAAGCGCTTAAGTCCATACATAAACGCCAATACCTTGATACCTCAGCCAATACCCAATGCCCATTTGCCCAATAGCCCACAGCGCACTAAAGATCTTCAGTCAACAATAAAATCAGAAAAGAACTCCATGCATATCCTCATCACAACCCATCTCCATTCCTCGCTCCAGACCGCCGTTGCGACGCCAGCCCACCACCCTGCCGATACGCACCCGATGATCCCGTCCCCTCACCTCCAGGCCCAGGCCCAGCCACAGTCTTCCCCTTCGACCCAGACTTAGACTTCGATCTCGGCTGCGGCTGCAGCCTAACCTTCCGCCCCATCAACATACGGCTCGCAGCATCCCAACACTCCGAGACCGCACGCCCAGGTAAACCACTAACTGACAGCGCAATCTGAACAGGGATCACGACGCACGCGCAAGCCCAGTCCAGCAGGACGAGCGCATAATTCGGCCGGCGCGACTCTGCCGACCGCTGCGCCGCAGCAGCCAGCGCAATCGCGTCGGCAGCCTTGGTCTCGAGACGCGCAAAGCGCTGATCGGTCTGTAGGGTGAAGAGGGCGGATCGTTTCTCGTAGCGCCTAACGGCGCGATTAAGCGCTTCGATATCGGGTTGGATGAATTTACGGGTTTCGATAGCTGCGTGTGCGACGATGGACGAGGATGTTTCTAGTTGATCTTGTTCTTTGGGAGAGATGTTGTTTTGGGCCGCGAGACGGGCGGTTGCTGTCTCTGCGACGTGGGCTTCTAGCTCTTCGAGGCGCTTTGTTAGGTCGTCGAGGGTTGTTGGGTTTATGACTGGGTCTGTTGAGGAGGTTATGATGCGTTGGAGGTGGAGGGTTCGTTTTTGGATTAGTCTTAGGAGGTGGGCGACTGGACGGACTTCGGAGGCTAGGAGGAAGATTGTTAGGTTGTAGTTTGATACTAGGCCCTCGGATGGTCGGGAGAGGCTTGAGCGGATGGCGTGGAGGAGCCAGGTGCCAATTATGGGGAATATGAAGCAGGCGGCTAGAGCGGCGAGTTCGTGGATTTGGAGCTCGGAGATTGCTGTTGCTGCTTCTTTCAGTTGGGGTTGGGGTTCTTGGTCGAGCTCGTGTGGGGGATCGCCGGGCGCTGAGAATCCACTTTCTTCTCGACGGATGGCCTGGGCCGAGCGGTACCAGTCCCTGTTATATATGTTGTTAGTAGTAGTACTTTTGTTTTGGGAGATAAATGATCATATAGGGGATAAGGGGATATATACCAAGGCAACCGGACAGACCAGTTGAGAAATATCGCGGCCAAGACTAGTAATGTGACGTCGGTGACGAAGGAACTACCTTCATGGAAGAAAATGCCCGCAATTGCAGGTAGCAGGGCCAGCCCAAGCGGTGCAGAATGCCAATTTGATTCTTCAGTTGAGAGTGCGGCATGGCCTCTTGCTACACGCGGTAGAAACAAGTCGTCGGTCGATGAGCGGATCGAGTTGCGGGCCTCTGAAAGCGAGTCCGAGAGGGTCGAGTTCCGTCGTTGACTCTCCTCGAAGGTCCGCACACGACGTGTATTTGAGAGGCGCGTGGGCGAATCAGCCATGTTGACTCTGAAGGTTGGAAAAGGAATGTGTTGCCTACGGAGTATGGAGAGTATGGAGTACATCTACCGAGGTTGGATGATGATGCAATGAGACCAAACCGGTTCGCAGATCCTAAATTGGCAATTGTGTACTATACTCTCTGCATATTCAGCATATAGAGAATATAGAGAAAATACAGAATATACATGCCGGATAATCCCTATCACTCGAGAGTTTCCATTTTAGTACTTTTTGCGATGTTCCCCCGGGGGGTCTGGGTACCCCGATGCTTCAGGGGCGTTCCCCTGAAGCCACCCCCGAAGGGCCCACCTAACTTGACGATTTTCAAATCCAAAAAACACGGAAATGTCACTCTTTTGGTAAGATCTGGGAACCTACCAGGTATTCACTAATAACCTAATTGTCTCCCAACTTAGATATATAAGGTGTAAATTGTATACTATATGTAACCAGAATAGAAGGGATGTCCAACAATATAATCATATTGGAAAATATAAGTCTATAAGCCTAAGCCTCTCTCGCTTTACGTAGTATAGATCCTAACATAAAGTGGTCAAACTAATTGGGAAAGTGTGATATACCCCAAGGAGAGGCTTATGGGCCTCCTTCCACTCTGACCTTCTCGCCTTCTTTTCATTTTCTCTCCTAACAGCGATCCTCCTGTATGTCCCCTTTTTTTTGCTTGGGTCTTAGTGATACTGGACCTCTCATTCGGTTAGCCATTAGCCACTAACGCTGCAATATCTGCCATCCGGCAGGAAAGAAGGCCCTTGGGCTCTACACACCAAAAAGCAAAACTACACTGTCGCCAAGGACTTGCCCTGATAAACAGACATTTTTGTCATTCTGAGAAAGATCCGAAGCGCGAGCTCATGGTTTGGAACACATCATTGATGGAAACCGTCAAAATCGAGTATGCCCTTGCTAGGTTACGGGAGGGTGATATTTATCATACTGGTACAGTGGGTATGATGCACAAAAAGTGTGAACATTATTGTGCATTCTTGAAAACATATACATTTGGGAAATATTTAATTGCGACTAGGTGCTTCTTTTTTCTTTTTGATGTCATTTGTACCGTCGAGGGATGCATCATCACTTTTTCCCGAGGTCACTTCTACAAGTCCTGAATAGACACAGTCTAGATCAATAATGAATCATTAATCTCCCCAGATCGACAAAAATATCAGGCGGATCAAAATGAATAAAATCCCCGGCTCCCTTGGCTCTATTGACACCCAAATCCGGACTGGTGTCGCCTCACACTATTCGCTCAACCACAACATCCCAGCCCATATACTTCACGTTGCTTTTATTCAACTTCTTTCATCTTCTTTCATCTCATTATTGTAAGTTCTTTGGCTTAATTCAACTCTAATCCAATGGATAGGTTTCTCTGCCTGTCGCAAACATGTCAAGGCCTGGTACCCCCGGCCGCGGATTTTGCCTCTGCGGCCCATACATTCTTCGTGAATAGTACATGACTTTAGGCATGATGTCTTGAGCTGTGAATCAACCTCCTGATTCTCACTATTTGGATCTCAATAAGACATCATCGCTCAATCGCCTCCCCTGGCTGGATATACATCCTATATCGAGAGAGGATGGTTTCAACGCATTCTTCTTTCTTTCTTCCTATCTCTTCATTTCCTTGATCAGTTTCTAGGAGAATTGGAGGCTCATCTTACGGAAGTTATCCTTTTAATCTCTGTTTAACATCCACTACCGTCATGGATACTTACCACAGACGCCCGCAGGCCGTGGTTCTGCCAATTCTATCTTCTCTCTCCATTGCTCTCGCTATTCCGCCGTTAATTCTGCATGGAAAGAACCGCAATTTTCCCGCTACCACTCTGATATTCTGGTCAATCCTCCTCAACTTGTTTAATATCATCAATTCTCTCATATGGCCCACGGACGACGTGAAGTCGTGGTGGGACGGGGCTGGTCTCTGTGATATCGAGGTCAAGTTCATGGCTGCCGGCTATGTGGGCATCCCAGGAAGCCTGGCATGCATCTTTCGAAGTCTTGCAATTGTACTGGATACAGATCGGGCTACGTTGGTCCCGAGCAAAGGTCAACGCTGGCGCAATCAGTTCGTGGAGATTCTGTTCTGCGTGGCTGTTCCAGCCATCGCAATGATCACACATATCATCTGGCAAAGGAGTCGATACTTGCTATTTGCCATTTCGGGATGTGTGAACAACTTCGACGAGAGTTGGGTCAGTCTTGTCTTTGCGTGGATCTGGCCGCCCATTATCTGCCTCATTGCAGCATACTATTGCTGTAAGTATATACTCACCAACTTTATACAAAAGAACCCGCATCAACTAAAACATCACAGGCCTGGTTCTCATTCGCGTACACAAGTACCGAAGCGACTTCGCAAATATCATCCGCGCCTCCAGCAGCAATCTCAGCAAATCCCGCTTCCTCCGCCTCTTCTTCCTTGCCCTATCAATGCTCATCTGCATTCTCCCACTACAAGGCTACGTCGTCTACAACGACATACGCCTCTCTCTCCCCTGGCATTCCTACTCCTGGAGCGAAATCCACAATGAAGGAGCATGGCACACCATCGTCAAATACCCCATCGATGGTACCGTCTTCTTCGACCGCTGGACCCCCGTCGCATCAGGTTTCATGATCTTCATCTTCTTCGGCTTCGGCCGCGACGCAACACGTATGTACCGCACAGTCTTCTGGTACCTCGGATTGAGCTACTGCTTTTCGAGCATCGAGCCCCCAACAGATACAAACAACACGCCATCCCCCGGGCACGCTTCAACAGCAACCACTCTCGTCGGGAGTATCGGATCCCGTGCCAGATCGCTGTTCTCCCGCCAGAAGGAATCCGTCGCCACGTTTATCTCGACGCATGGCACTTACAACGATCTTGAAAAGGGCACCTCTTCCCACTTGTCCCGCCATAGCTCTGGTAAATTGACCAAGAAGTCTCGATGGAGTAGCTTGCCCTGGTCACTTTTTAACAGACGTCAGACTCGTCAGGATATCGATGGGACGCTGTTGACTGACCTTGCCGGTCCTTCGCAGACTGTATGTACGAATGCTTGGGCTAGTCGTCGTGATAGTCGGGAGGTCTCCAGTGGTCCTACTTCGCCGGAGCTTGATAAGGATTTCATTCATGTGCGGCAAGTCATTAGCCAACAGAGTGAGGTTAGGGTTCAGGTCTAATGGGCTTGTTCTTTTTTCTCCCGGGTTGTATCCGGGAGTTCAGTGGCTTGTTACGGGTTTCTAATCTTGCCTTTGCGTCTGGGATCATGGGATTCTGCTGTACACCAGAGTAGTACTTAAGTATCATTATACATAATTTGTCGCGGAGTCTGGTAGCTCTCGTGCAAAATGAAATTGTTTGAATATGTTTCTTGGTAGACATTCAATATTTGCTGGTGTACATATGTAGGTAGGACTAACAGAGAACCTTTGGATATACCGAGTTGCCAGAGCCGGAGTACTAGTCGGCGAGTTGGTGGTAGGCTGGCATAGACTTTGTAGGCCTTCGGGTGAATAAATTAAAATAACAAGTCGTAGGTTGAATCTAAAAAAGCCAATAGTTCTCAGGATATCTAGATAAATATTACACCACATGCTACCAAGATCGAATCCATCCACTGCAAAACGAAGTGTATTCAGGGTATAATCGTACAGAACTATTATCACACCGCAAAGGAGGATTCAGTCAACTTCACCAGCCCAAAAATGAAACTAGCAACAAATTCAATTCAGATTGGTACAGAGCCCCGACGAAGCCATTTAGTGAGACTCGTCATGGCCACCGTGCTCGGGGCGCTTAAGGACCTCGAGTGTGCCTAGGAAAGTGTTAGGTTGAAACTTGATATTTTTTCGTGTTCCTGAGAGTGGGAGCAAATTGACAGAACAGGGAATCGACATACGCTGCACAACGTTCAGAGCGGACCGGGTTTGGCCCTCGGAATCTTCCCAAGTGGCCATTTTGGCATCACCTTCGACGTACACGAGAGTTCTGCGGGGAGAAAGTTAGATTATCTGCATCATGCTAAAGCGCAATTTCGCTGCATTGGTGTAAGTGGACAGGAGGGCCTTGAGCAGGGCAATCCCGTATCCCAACCCCTACTGCCCAACCACGAACATGACATGAAGGAACGATATCATATCTGAAGGTGCATTGCCTGAGCGCCACAGCCACGTCATATGTCCAGACAGACCCGCACGATCCCCATGCAGCCTTCAAGCACGAGCACTCGCTCTCGCTCTCCATCTGTATAGACCCTGCGCGTCTGCCGGACCCAAGCGGCATATAGCAACAACACACCCAACAGATAAGACGCAACCCAAACACGAAATATATTTCCCGCATAATCCAGCAAAGTATCAAGAGTATCGACTTACCCCTTCTGCAAGCCAAGGACGAAATCGCGCTGGGGTCCCTCGGGGACGAAGTTGGTGATGCGCCACCAGCTTGTCTGACGGTTATCGCGGTTGCCGTGGGAGGTGGCGATATTGTACTTGACGATCTCCTGGCCTGAGGAGGTGGCTTGAAGCTCAGGCTCTCCGCCGAGGCGGCCGGTGAGGGTCAGGCGGGCGATGGAGTGAGCGGGCGAGGAGCTGAAGGCGCGGGCGGTCTGGGGGGCACCAGCCATGCGCATGGCTGGGCGCAGAGAGGAAAGGAATGCGGACATGGTTGGATGGAGGACGTGTGAATTATGGTTTACAGTAAGGATGGATTGGGATTTGTTTTGGCATTGTTGATAAGTGTCGATCACGACACGTGATCTGGATCCGGGCTACCGCTTTCGAATGTGATGTGGCATAACACTTGTTAGGGTAGTTTATATTATTATTATTTTATTATTTAGCATTGGGTTGAAGCAGGGAAATTGGTTGCAATTGAGATTTTGAAAATGGAATTGGGTCCAAAGTGGTCATTTTGGCGAAGCTCATAAGCTCATGCTAGAGAGCTATAGCTCTACCCCGGAGTCCCCCCTGGCGTAGGATTATGTCAGGTGCAGACAGCTATGAGCTTCAGAATTATAAATTCAACGTATCAAGTCCCGAGTCAACAAGAAAAGCAAGGAACGAAAAAGAAAAGAAATGCAAATCAAACGAGCCGATTTTGTAACTCTATTATTTTGAAATCCTTCATACACCCATGTGAATGCCAACGGGAATACGCCAGGGTATATATTTTTATGAAAAAAAAAAAAACTTGCCAGAGCCTAGTCACCCGTTACAATTCATCACATCCGACTGTCCCGCGAAGATACAGATACACTTGTACACGGCACATCGAACTGGAAATGGCAGCCGATAGGCAGATCGGCCAGGGGGCAGATCCCAGTGGAGGTGCTGCAATACTGCTGATTGATTGAACCAGACCGAAGATAAATTAAGATAGCTATTGTCTCAGATGCACTCCTTACATTTTCAATTAGCGGCCCAACCACGTCGCTGCAGGGGCGTTTGCGAGGCGTCAACAATGGATAACACGGCTTGGACCTGCAGGCATTGCAGGACAATGGTGAGATTGGTCAGCTCAAAGACCAAAGTCAAAGTGAACTTGGTGAAATTGATGAAATTGTCAAATTGTCAAATTGGTCAAATTTGCAGAATAGATCGACTGTGGTAGTAGCGCGGCGCCACCCGTACTAAGAGTGGTCTGTTTAGGGCTACTTTCTTTATTTTGTTCAGGGACTACGAACATGAATATAAGTGACGGTGAACTGTCGCTTATATGCGAGGGACGATATGACAGCTCACTCTTGGCTCTGCAGTGTGTTTCGAGAAAAAAAAGAATTCCAAAAAAATACAATAGTCCCAAGAGCCCGAAGACAACGTTTGGTTGAATGGCAATATTCGCCGAACTAGAGACAATTAAGCCACAATATGGAGACTCGGGGATCATTTCTCTCTCTCTTTGGTCCGTGCAAGTGGTGCTAGTCCAAGTTGATCGTTATTAGATCGGCAATTTGCTCGATCGGTGGAGACAAAATAGATAGCTCAGGTACAATCGCGTGGGTAATCTTATTGTCCTCTTATATTCCTCGATACGTTTCATGGGTTCCCTCTGTGCTAATAAAACTCAAATGCGAAATGAGATTTTCCAATCTTTTTTATATGTAGGGAGGCTTAGGGCTGATTCCGTTTGCTGTTCTTTTTCCTTCTTTTTACCACAATGAGTCTCTGGCGCCACGTCAATTAATTCCTTTTTTTTTTATTGTTAATTATTAATATTCGTGTACCCCCGAGGTCTGCATTTCGCGCGTGAACCGTGTGCCTAAGACCGCGGGATATGTGAAAGGCGTGCTGGTCTTACAATAACCGAGGGCATTTCTCTACGGAGATCATTTGAATTTTTCTTTAGAGATCAGTCAAGATGCGTTGGTCTTTGTTATTCACTTTAATAGTGTCCCTATTGCTATTGGGGACATTGGCAGCGCCGGCTTCGGGCCTAGGACGACGTGGTGTTGAAGTCGCCAATCTTGAGGCCAGACAGGAGAAGGAAACCGATCCTACAATCAGCGATGCTGAGACGGCAACTCAAACAGATATATCAAAAGCAATAACCGATGCGTCAACAGCCGCCGAGGCTACAACGACAGGCACTACTGCCTTCACCACAGGCTCGACCACGGCCAGAACGCATGCCACAACCGATGCTACGACCACTACTTCTGCCGCTTCCGCTACTTCGACTGTGCCCTCGCTCGATGGAACGACTGCATCTTCTCAGCAAGATGCGGTAGACTCTACTAGACCAACCTACTCCGGTGGTCTGCCAATTAAACCGACAATCACGCCGGCATGGGGCGTTGGAGGATTTATACTAATAGCTCTCGGAGCTGTGCTGACTTTCATCGGTGTCCGCAAACAATGGTATTCAAGTTGCGAATCTTTGATGATAATGACATTTACTAACAAAAAGAAGGGTCCAAATCTTCCTCTCAACCGGATTCCTTAGCGCATTGGGAGTTACCGTAAGTTCTATACTCGGGAGGTAGTAAACAGAACTAATATCCATACAGGTCCTCATTATTTATGTAATGAGTCCACCGGTAACAAACGCCGTGCAGGGGGGCTATCTCGTCGCTGTCTTCTTCACTGGCGCAGTATTCGGTGGTCTATCACTTGTCTTCAGAGAAATCTGCGAGGGACTAGGCTGTCTTCTAGGCGGGTTCTGTCTGAGCATGTGGTTCCTTGCCCTGAAAGCTGGCGGTCTTCTGAGTGAAGGTGGTCCCAAGGCTGGCATGATTATTGCCTTCACTGTGGGGTTCTATTCCCTCTCGTTCAGCCACTATACAAGGCCATACGGGCTGATCGGATGCACGTCGTTCTCCGGTGCAACTGCCGTGGTCATTGGGATCGATTGCTACAGCAGAGCTGGACTGAAAGAGTTCTGGTTATATATCTGGGGTGAGCCTAAAATTTCACATTGTGTTCATACTGTTCATAGTTGCTGACGGACCCAGGATTGAACCAAAACGTCTTCCCTCTCAGAACGGACACCTACCCAGTGACACGTGGTATTCGTGTTGAGCTCGCCGCGACTATAATTATTTCTGTTCTGGGGGTAATCTCCCAGATCAGACTTTGGAACCTCATCAAGGAGCGCAGAGCCAAGGAAGAAGATTCCCGTCGGGCACACACCCGAAAGATCGAAGAAGAAGATGCCGAAGCCGGTCGTCGCCTCGAGGAAAAGAATATCCAAGAGCGCGCTGAATGGGAACTCATTTATGGAAACGGAAAGGCTGCGGATGGTAAAGCCGTCTCGGTTTCGGAGACTGCTGTCGGTGACTCGCGACGGGGCTCGGATGGGTTCGACTCCTCTGACAACGACAAGGAGGGGCAGATCGAGCTCAAGGAGATGCCGAGCCCGGATGCTTCTGGTAGTGCCTCTGACGGCGAGAAGAACCGTGAGGGTGAGAAGGATCGCGAACTTGAGGCTGTGCCAGAGGAGGATTCATCCCAGCAGGGTCAATCACGCGATGCAGATGAGGGAAAGGGTGCCGAGAAGCAAAGTCCATCTGAAGGAAAGACGCCAAGACCCACTACACCTGTTGTTACTCATGTCCTTGGTGAGGGTAACGATGAGTCCTCTGAGAACGGTGCTGACATCGGCTCGGAGGTTGGTACGCCGCGCTCGAAACGGTTCTCTGGCAGGGAAATGTTGAGCCGGCTCTCTTGGCGAAATGGCAATGGTGTGATGACTGCTTCACAGTCTCAGGAGAATCTGGTGGACCACGACGATGCCAATTCTTCTGTATTGGGGGTTGTGGATGATCTCCATGAGATGAGCGTCGGCTGTCCAAGTGTTATCTCAGATGCGGATGTTCACGATCGCGTTGAGAAAACCCAGCCAACGCAGCAAGAAACTAGCACCGCCGAGCTAGCTCCAGAGAAGGACTCGACAAATGTGGAGATCAAGTCAAACGCCGGTTCACAAGCTGTCCCAGATGCTGAACTCCGTGTCGATACAGCCATAGCCCAAAAGGACACTGACAAAGTGATTACCAAAGAAACCACTGCCGACCGCACTGTCCCACAGGTGTCTCTTGTCGAGAACGCTGTTGTTTCCGACTGTTCTTTGAAGAATGTTGGCATTTCCGAGCTGTCGGAGAAGCCTCAATTGCTGGAAACCACCGCAACAGATATTCAAGCCTACACTCCAGATGCCTCAAAAAAGACCGAGGAAGTCAAGCCCAAAGTTACATTGGAGCCGTCGCCTCTGAACGATGCAGAAGAGGAAAGGGTGAAAGAGGCTAACGAAGACCAACCTCCTACTGCCAAAATCATCAAACCCGAGTCCACTCCTGAACTGAAGGTTGTATCTTTGCCGGAGCCCAAGGTTGAGCCCAAGATCAAAGTGCTCAAGACACTAGACGCATCAACCGTCAAATGCATCCCCGAGCAAACATCACGAGTGATCCATTCGTACCGCACGAACGAATGGGCCAAACACCTCGCAGATGCCGACACCCCTGAGATGGAGCCGATCGAGTTCGAACCTGAACCCGAGGCAGAATACCCAGAGGAAGTTCACGAGACTGCCGCATTTGTTGATATAGGCGGTCTTCTCCAGACACCTCTTACTGCACAACCACCACCAATCGTGAACAGGCCTGAATACAATGATATGGACAATCAACCACCTGTCTATATCTCATCGCTGCCCTCGCCAGATATTCCGCAATCCAAGACACGGACCGGCGCGCAAGGGCTCACCACAGCGAAGCCAACTTTGACCCGCAATGACTCGACAGCTTCAGTTAACATACTACGTTCAGCTTCTGGTCCACTTCCAACTCAGGAATCAGGATTGAGGTCGATTCGCAACACATCGACTCCCCTGCTGACGATCACTACTCCCAACGAGCCCAAAGAAACGGAACCACCATCACGCTGGAACGGACCACCTCCCCTCCTCGCAGTCCGCGAGAACATGGTCCGAAACCGCATGTCATCAACATCCAACCGCTTCGATCCTTGGGCTGCACGCAACCTATCTCGCCAGTCCTTACCTGAAATGACGCACGTCGTCTCCCCAATTTCACCACCGCTCTCCATCCCCGAAGAAAGGGAGGTAGAACACCAAGTCCAACCAAACGAGGATGACATCCCACTTTCCAAGCGGCGCGCCCTACTACAGCGTCAGACAACGCAGTCCCCTGCAGCAAGCCCTGACAGCCTCGAGGCTGCCTCATTTCCTCTGTATCCCCAACCAGCTCCCGCCACTGAACTGAACCGGTCTGCTTCAAGAATGGCAGCGTGGCGACAGTCGGTCCGCGAGGAAATCACCCAAAAGCGAGATCCTTTGGCCCTCCAGTCCCCGCCCATCAGCCCGGCCAGCCCTCTGGACCGGCCGCGCAGTGCATGGAACTCTGTTCAGCAGATGCGCGAGGTCTCATCTACTCAGATAGGCGATGCCATCGCAGACGGCATGCAGCGTGGCAACATGACGGATCTACACCGTCAAGCAATGCGGCGTATGCAAGCTTCGGCAAATCGACAACTGTAGTGCCCAGTCATGGCTCATTCATTTTACTCGATACCCTTTGATTTGTGTCTTTTTTTATATATATAACTAGATGTTGTTATTACACGCCATGGGGAATATGTCTTTCCCACGACTTTATGAAGTACCTATTGCATCGATGTCTATAATCCTTATTTGATAATGTATATTTCGCCCAATCCGTGCTTAAACAAGTTCCATGCAGTAAATAAAACGGCCTTACTGGGCATTGCCGAGACTTGGACTGAAATGAAATGCAGTTCGTCATAATAGTACAATAGTACCTCGATTAGCGTTTGCTAGAGTGTGCATATTATACCCAATAAAGTCCGAGGATGAAACAAGGGACGGTGGATTAATCACAGTGAAACCTGAACAAACGACTCGCATATATATTATCATATTATTGGATGTGTATCCCTTTCGAGTCTCTGTAACTTTGATATAAGATCTAGGATCCTTTTTGATGTCCAATTTCCTATTTCTGTCATCTATTTAGCCACGTCCAGATTGTATACGCCAAGCAAGCTTCTTCTATACTAAGGATTTATAAAGGATTTCGCCTCAAATTTCAGCTCCGGCAAATTCGCATCTTTTCTGTTTCCTTGCTTTTTCTAATATTCTCACACTCATTTTTCGCATGTCCTCCATATAGAGAATTTTTTCCTTGGCCGATCTCTCCATCTCCGCTCCAATTTCCCCCCTCTCCTTTCTGCCCTCAAAACGGCGTCCCTAAAACCCCACAGACCTCTGTCGAGGGAGGAAGAATCATTCTGTTATCCACGCCAACAAGTCCTACGGCCTCCAACCAATCGCGCACCCGTGGAGTCAACTCCGTCGTTCGTTCGCGCCCAGCGGCGACAGTGCGTCCCGATCTCAGGTCCGCCGTCGCTCCTCCGCCCACCAGCAGTCCGGCTCGCCAACCCAGTCAACTACGTCCCACGAATAACCCCAATAACTGTCCACCCACACCAATCCGACGAGAGCCTCCCACTCGGCTTTGGCCACTCACGCGACGCCCATCCCCTCCTCAGCGTCCCAGAGCGACGCCGCAGCCGCCTAACCCCATCCCCGAGCAGCCTACTTGTCGAGCGCAGCCAGGGGGAAACAGAAAGTGGCCGGACTAGCATTGCCCTGCCCCCACGACATCGTCGCAGCGAAGACTTCGCCAGCACAGAAATGGCGTTCGCGGGCAGCGCAGCGCGGGAAACCGAGAACCTTCGCCCTCCCGAAGCTGTCCATCTCACGCAGAACGGAACTCGTCAGAACGACCGTGCCCGCTACGCTCAGTCACAGACCTCCCTCCGCTCTCAGTCCCAGATCGCTTCGGTCCCCTCGAATACTGGTCTCCCACCTGCTGATGTCGCCGAGGAGCTTGCTTGGGGCCCGGCTCACCCCTGTTTCCCGCATATCAATCCCCATGTGCCTATTGGGTCGCGGGAACATATGACAACGCGTGTGATTCGTATCCGGCGCGATTGGATGATAAAGGGTGATTTGGCGCCGACGTTTTCCAATCTGTATCCTGAGATTCTTGATCCGTTGTTGTCGGAGCATGAGTTTCGCAGAGTGATTTCTACCGTCAATGATGGTATTATCAAGGCGTTTGATCCGTTTAGTCTTCGGAATTGGTTCGACGGCGTGGTGGGCTTGTTGACTGGCTGGGTATGGGATGATCTCAATGCCCCGGGGACAAAAAGCCAGCTGCAGAATGTCGAGGCTTGGTTGGAGAATTGGAACCGCGAGGTCGGCGCCAAGGATGGTGTTCATATTTGGAGCTTGAGGCGGACGGCGTATATGTCACTTGATATCCAGATCCCCGATCCCAAGGTCGGCATTGTACCCAGTGAGGCACCTTCGGCCCCTAATACCAGGCCGAGTACTGGTATTGGGGCTGGAGCTTGATGGGCTTTTGTCGGGCTGGCGTGCGCCGTTTTCCTTTTGCTTTCTGATTGTACATCTTTGTGATTTGTTCCCTTCGTGGGACCTCTGCATGATATCCATCCCGCGGCAGTTTTTTTCGACACCGAATCTTTCCATATATACCTTCGTCTTTTGAGTCGGGGGGTTTGCTTTTAATCTTTTTGTGATTTGATACCTTTCTTTTATATTTCTTCTGTCAGCTTCTACATATCCCTGTTGATTCCCCTAGGGGCTACTTTACCCTGATTTCTTATTGTCATCTTGACCATGCCTTTTTGTCCATATCTGGCTGTCATACTGCATTCTCACCATTAGACTTGCTAGCATTCCGAAAAATAATTTCATTGCGGATTTGCTTTCTCTGCTTTAATGCTTCACGTTTATATTTAATAGAAGTAGAGCAGCCCGTGGTCTATATATGGTACTTATACATTGAGCATTCATGCAGGTCAGTGTTTGCTTTGCCTGCATAAAAAGCCTTCTACGGCAGTTTCTAGTATCCACCCCGACAACCCATACATGCGTTCGGTTGGTGGCATCAAATTATGCAATGCATGACTTACTTGGCCTATCTGACACACCCAAAAGCCAGCACAGACCGTTCAGTGGTATCAATTGGGTCGGATATGAAATGAATATGACATGCAAACTCCAACGTAGTCGACGGATTGATTAGCTCTATACCAAAACTTATACTTGTCGACCATCAAGTATATATCGGATATAAAATCCGCTTGCCACCGTAAGCAAAAATACCACATTCCCGATACTATAGCCGGCTACGCCCCAGTCTATAATTCCGGCCAAGACATTACTATCCCCCATAATATTGCTTTGGTGCAAATCACTATGAATGAGCACCTTTGTTTCATCCTGGCCACCCGATACAAGAATACTCTCCACTAGAGGCTCGTCTCTCTTCGTGGGGCTACAACTGCGATTTCGCCCAAGAAAGAATTTTGTCACTAGTTTAAGATAGTCTATTCAAGGCTTCCTAGCCTTTCTCATTCAAATCCGGATACTCTCTTAGATTACGCAAATCTGTCCAAAATGCCTTGGCATCTTCATGTCCCTCGTCATGCACGCCTAAGAGCTCTTGTAGTGACCTCTTCCATTCGACATCCATATCTGTAAATCTGAAAGAGGCCGAGACGTATTCATACCAGATAGAAAAATAGGCAGCGTACTCCCAGTCAAGTATACTGATAACCTTTCCATCTTGGATCATGATGTTATCCAAATTGAGATCGTTATAGGTGAGGATATAGGGTTCGCATTTTGGAAGGCGCTTCTTCAAGTTCTCTAACACTTTCAGGGGTACACGGTGAAGGTTAAGGCTGAGGGTATCTCAAAGTCATTGGTCGGTCTTGATGTTATTGAGATTTGATACGCCCACTATCTATTGTACCAGTTTCTCAGTCCTGTCAGCAACAAAAGGACGGATATGGATGTAGTTTTGAGAATAGGATCAGACTACTCTTGGAAGTCTATGAGGCAATTTAGTTGCTTCGGTTAAGCTGGCCTAGCTCTTGGCTAACCGTGGTGTTGACCTGGTGGATTTCCAGCTCAGGTAGTGTCTACGCCAGATCCCCGACTGCCATCAAACTGGGCCCTCCATATCAGGTAAATTTGGCCCAAATAATAAAGAAAGCCATGGGCGACAATCTATCGTTCTTGACTCTCAGTGGGATCAGAACAAGCCCTCTGGCCGAAGTACAAGCTGGACGTTGGTTCCCCCAGAACCTTGACTTGGTTCGTGCTTTTCTTTAATGAGCTAGAAGTGAAGCTGAGATGACCAACGAATCGTCTGGAGTTTCGAGAGTCGTGGAAAAGGAATGAAGAGCTCACTGATAATTTAATATTTAGCACAACGGTAGTCAAGTAGTCAATGGAAGTGGCACCTCCTTTTATACCTCAGGCGGTGTCGATCCACCCCACACCCCTGTTTCCGCAGTTCAACTCCATCCCCAGGAGCAAGTCGACTCACCACAAACAATATGCTCTCGGGGATCCTAATATTCAATCAGAAGGGCGAAAATCTCATTTTTCGCGCCTTCCGCAGCGACTGCCGCCCTCGTCTAGCCGACATCTTCCGCATTCAAGTCATCTCCAATCCCCAAGTGCGCTCGCCGATCCTGACCTTGGGCTCGACGACCTTTAGCCATGTTAAGCATGAGAACATCTACTTGGTAGCTGTGACCAAGAGCAATGCCAATGCCGCGCTGGTCTTCGAATTCCTCTACCGGCTGATCATGCTGGGGAAGAGCTATTTCGGGAAGCTCGACGAGGAGGCCGTGAAGAACAATTTCGTCCTGATTTACGAACTGCTTGATGGTATGTGAAAAGGGCCCAATGGCTTAGAAGCAGACCCTAACAATTGATGATACAGAAATCCTCGACTTCGGATACCCCCAGAACACCGATCCAGATACCCTGAAAATGTACATCACAACCGAAGGCGTCAAGTCCGCCATCGCCAACTCTCCAACAGACTCCTCCCGAATCACCCAACAAGCAACAGGTGCCCTCTCTTGGCGTCGCTCTGACATAAAATACCGCAAAAACGAAGCTTTCGTCGACGTAATCGAAGACGTTAATCTCCTGATGTCCGCAACAGGCACCGTCCTCCGCGCCGACGTCAACGGCCAGATCGTCATGCGCGCCTACCTAACCGGTACCCCAGAATGCAAATTCGGTCTGAACGACCGCCTCCTCCTAGACACCGGCGAGACTTCCAGCAACATGAACAACCCCGGCGGTGGCAACGGACTCGGCACATCGAAGACAACGCGCGCTGCGGCAGGCTCCGTCACGCTGGAAGACTGCCAGTTCCACCAATGCGTGAAACTGGGCCGTTTCGATGCAGACCGCATCATCTCCTTCGTGCCGCCGGACGGCGAGTTCGAGCTGATGCGCTACCGCGCCACCGAGAACGTCAACTTACCCTTCAAGGTGCACCCGATTGTGCGCGAGATCGGTACTACAAAGGTCGAATACAGCGTTGCTATCAAGGCGAATTACAGCTCCAAGCTCTTCGCTACGAATGTTGTTATTCGCATCCCCACGCCGCTTAATACTGCTAAGACTACGGAGCGCACGAGCCAGGGCCGCGCCAAGTATGAGCCTGAGCAGAACAATATTGTCTGGAAGATCGCGCGTTTCTCCGGACAGTCGGAGTATGTGCTTAATGCTGAGGCAACGCTTACTACTATGACGCATCAGAAGGCTTGGAGTCGTCCGCCGATGAGTCTTTCGTTTAGTTTGCTTATGTTTACCTCTTCTGGTTTGCTGGTGCGCTATCTTAAGGTCTTTGAGAAGAATAACTATAGCTCTGTCAAGTGGGTACGCTATATGACTCGCGCGGGGAGCTACGAGATTCGGTATGTGTATTATCTTTCCGTTGGGTATTGTTTCTGTGACTGACTCAATTACTTCATTTAGGTTCTGATCATTCTCGAAATTTCGAGGTGATTTTGTTTCGTGTGGGAGAAATTTCCGACGAGCAGTGTTGATATCAATGGACTTGAGTCCGGTTTCATCTTGTTATTTGTACTTTGCGCAGCACAACGGGTGTCTGGCGTTGGATGGAGCCATATAAATACCTGAATTTTTCACAAGTATCCAATTATTTCCCGTACCTCAAATATATGCTTGGAGGTGAATTTTAGGTCGAGAATCAGGAGATTTAGTGCCATGGCAAAGGGTTGAAGTTATGTGGTAGCATGTTTTCACTCGGCTTTAGGTATACCATCCTAGGCCGCATAGGGTCATATAAAATGGCTCTACCAACCGCGCTCAGAGATTTAGATAATCAAAAGCCACATCCATGGATAGATACGATGGGATTATTGCAACAGTGGCATACATTGAGCGTCAAAGTCTACAGTTACTATCTTACGGTTGTTCAAGAAATAGATAATGTAAAATGTGTCAAGTTGGTAGTAGTAGATAGTAGTACACTTCCCAAACAAGCGCAAATCAAAGCCCAAGAGGGGAAAAGACAGATGTGGAAGAGTAAGTCACACAAAAAGGACAGTATATGAGCAGGAAAAGAAGCAACAAGCATATTCACATTAGCCCGAGTAGAACGGAACCCACAACACCGGACAAAATAAACGAAACAAGCAATTTGTGCTGGCCAGTAGACAATAAACCGAAAGAAAATGAATGCACCAAGTCTCACAAATACAAGAAGATATGATAATACAGGGGTGTTTTGGCAAAGAAATCAAGGCCAAGTCAGGCCAATAGGAATAGGATCAGTCACAGGGTGGTACAGAGTTCATATAATACATTAATAAAGGAGGGTAATTGCAAGAAGCAATTTTCAACGCCGACGCGGGCGCAGGCCGACACGACCCTCACCAACGAGGGACTGCCATCTGGGTCCAACGTGGCTGCGGCCCATTTGGCGCGCGCACTCATCCCATTCTTGTTGGGAGAGACGGAATTTCTCGAGGACCAGCTCGATAAGGCGTTGGTCTTCTTCGGCAGTCCAGTCTTGTGGAACCGAAGGAGCACATGCCTCTGTCACCTCAATGGAGGGCAGAGGCGCGTCTGGGTCGACGCGTTGGCCAGTCGAGATGTCATAGTCCATCTGGCGACGAGGAGGAGAGGGAGGGGATTGAGTGACAGGAGGAGAATGTAGAGAGTAAAAGTCTGTGGAGGAAAGGCCGAGAGGCATATTGTAGGGAACGTGACGGCGGCGTTTGGGGGTCGCGAAGCGGTTGCGCCGACTCATCTCCGCGTCGCTGTCATCGTCATCGAGGATGTCGCGGCGGCGCTTGTTTGCGCCGCGTGCGGGTGCAGATGGAGGAGGTGGGGGTGTGAGAGCGGCGGTTCTGGGTGGTGGTGTTTGTCTAGGAGAGACAGGTCGCGCAGCCTTGTGCGATCGCGGCGAGCGACGGGGTGTGTTGAGGGGGAGGGGGCTCTGGAGTCGTTGGGGTTTCACTGATCGCGGTGAAGGTGTGGGCGATCTGTTGAGGAGAGATTGTAGTGCGCGGCAGGTGCCGAGGAGACCGTTGCCCGATGGATATCCTGTGTCGGATGGGGGAGGTGTTGAGAATAGGCGATTGGGAGTGAAGCGAGACGACCGGCGCACATCGCATGGGAGGGCGGATGGGAGCAGCATGATTGTAAATATAAATTTAATGTGCGATTTGAGTGATTTGAAGTTGGTTTGAAGATGAAATATATCAAAGAAAGAGTCAACGTCGAGTTGTTGCGCGTTGGCGCGATTTGTGGGTAGGCTGCGATTGCGCCGGAGGCGGTTGCGATGCGCGACGAAGGAGTTGGGGATGCGAAAATGAATGGATGATCTTGTCGTTGAAATGCGCTTCGATTTCCACCTTTTCCGAGGGATGCGACAGCAAGTTGGTGATATGGATGTTTTGGAGCGAGTGTTGTAGGGGGAAGAAGTTGGAGGGGAAATGCGGCGATAAAAAGAAAATTGGGGCCGCAAACGGTCAAGCGAATGAATCTCCCGTGCAACGTCAGGTTTATTTTAGGTCACAAAGAATGTGTCTGATCTATTACTTTCAAGTTCGATGTTCAAAAGAACTATGGAAGACTTGAAACAGTTGAAAAAAAAGAGAAGGGAGATCTCAAGGGTCAACGAATGTGATGATAGGAGTGATAGGAATACTAGATAGGAACAGGAATGAAGGTCTTTCTATTATACTTGGATTTACTTGTGAAGGACTTGGAACTATAGTTCCAGTGAAACAGTATACTAAGGAGTCTAGGACAAGAGGGATTACATGCAAGGCGTATACAAAGAGAGCCCTGAAGGGCAACAGGCACGAGGCACCCCTGAGACACTTTTTTTTTCCAATTACATTTCCTATTTGGGCAAGAGATTGACCCCGATGTACTGGAGGTTCAACGAATTGTATGATCATGATTCAATGTTGTATTGGTGTATTGCAATGGAATTAAGCCAGTAACATCAAGTGCATTAGGCAGCATACCTTGTATCCAAGCACAGCCCTAAAGCCTAAACGCGCTAGGTCACATATTTCTTTGTTTCCCTGAATCTCTATACCGGGGGAAAGTCGTGTTTTAATAATGATCTGAAAGAGGGTGAGGTTCCCTTTCTACTATTCTCCCACCCTTCTCCTACCCTTCACCAGGAGACTTGTTCCCTGCCACCCTCTAGGACTATGCCTTTGAACGCTGTCACTTGTATGATCCTACTCTTAGACCTTGCAAATGGCCTAATGGTGGAATGCTGGCATTCGTAATTTTTTTCGCGTTGACGCGTCTCGCGTTTCGCGTAGCGCGACGCGGCGCGCCAAGAATTTGGACATGCCCTAAAGACTTCCCATACTGTATGAAGTATACTCGACCTATGGAGTATAGTATGCATAGTGTGAACAAAGACTCGTGGGTCAATGCTCAGAATGCCATGTGCCCTGCAAGATCACCCAGAGTCATCCCACTCGGGAGATTTTCTATACTGTATTGTAAGAAACTCCGACTGCCCTTGTTTCTCCTTACAGGGGCGTAATCAGGCCAACTCGTGCAAAGATACAGCCTGCATTATCTTGCAGAGCTCTGCATCTACCACATTGCGGGGTGCAGACTGGCTGCAAACTGCATAATACATAGACCCGTTGCTACACTCATTACGATATACAAACAGGTGGTAAAGGATATCCCATATGTGCCAATTGAAAAGGGATGCCTGCTCCTTGGAACCCAGTTTAACCAGAAGGGCTGATAGTACTGTCAGATCCACGACTATCCAAAGGGTCCTAGTCCTATCTACAATACCAAATGGAGAGCCTTCAAAGTACTCCGTGCGGAGTAGCCTCCATTCCAAGACCCGTGCCCCCAGCCACTGATCAAAATCCAATCTCATGCAAGGGGTAGCCTATCGAGAGTCATAGGCTCACACGAGGCTAGGCTTGGGAAACTTCCAAAATTAGAGCACAGGCAAGAAGTAAATCTATACTACGAAGAACGGTGCAATAAACACAAAATCTAGAATGTGATGAAGGTTCCTAATTTCCACGGTTTCCCTCTCGAGTCTACCTACGTGGATGCTATCTAAGCTTCTCACGAGATGCAAGATCCTGTGGCGTTAATGCAAGACATAAGCCCCTTCCCACGGGGTCTGATTGTAGATCATCTCTACATTCTTTTGATGGGCTTTTGCCCTAATGTGGCTGGGACTGTACTTGCCCCTCTATGCTTCGCCTTTAGGTTCATACGGCAAGATACTCGGTCTCAGGCGTTCACTGCGGCCTCATAACCTCAGACATCGCTCAATATAGCCCCATCACTCTCTCCCTGTCTTGATCTCTGGTCCAATGTATGGTTCCGTTGGCGATCATCCCTCTAAGGTTTCAATATTTTACAATATTGCTTTTCTTTTCTTTTTGCTGGGATTATAATTGCAGCCGACAGGGAGCTCTGATTGGGTCTAGGGGCTGTGTTGGATTGCCTCGCCCCAGATAGGTATCGGAACCCTTCTAAAACAGGGCCTATAGAATCAAACTTGATGTACCATGGCTTTTCTAGCAGTCAGTGGCTGTGGAAGAAGAGTCTGGCTCACAACACTCGAGGTCTACCACTCGAATTGGAAACCGATGCACCTAGTCCGAGTCATGTGTATAACAATCAACTCCCCATGGCTCAACCACCCATTGGCTTGGAAGTGAGACCAACCCTCCACGCTCGCCATCGATCAGCACTCCCTATTTCTGTATCGAGCTCTCCCCCTCTTCTCTCCCCCCCCCCCCCCCCCGGTTCTACTCTCATAGTCACACAATAAGGGACCGTCATCCTTTACAGTGACGACTAGACTAGCCCTACCCGAGATGCAGGGATGAGAATAAGGAGGCCACGCAAGCAGAAGTGGGCTTACTACACTGGACCCTGGTTCCATAGTGCTCAATGGAAGGTAGAAGCCCTCGTCTCCTATTCTTATCCGTGTGGTCCTAGTAAGAGCTATTGTTAGCTTCCCTTGCCCCCTCGAAGCCCCTCCTGTCCCTCTGTGGGTCGTGGGCCATATGCCCGAAGGATCAAGAACTATTGCCTGTGTAACTTGCTTCCCAGGGATGATCATTAGGTGACGATGAAGTAACCTCTCGCTTTGCCGAGGATTATCCCCGATCGTACTGGTGTTCTTAGCTCTCAACTTTTAGTACCGTTTCATGCTTGCTTCAACAAAAGAACGTCATCTCATTTCTAGGAATAATGGTGGTGACTACAATACGGTTGGCTATACAAAATGCAGCGAGCAACTGCCTGGCTGGCGAGAAAATACCTAGGTAAAGAGATGCTAAAGATAAATAATATATTTTTTCACCCCATGGCAAACCCAGAGCCAATATCTACTCAGGAATGGAATATTCATGGCGATGGTCACGCCGTCAAAACTTCAATGCTCAGGGTATACAAAAAGATCTCATTGACCTTGAATTCTCCGGAAGCGCTCCTCCGCAGCCCTCGCTCTGCGCTCTCTCTCCAACCGCATCCTCATCTCAGGCGTCATACCTCTAGTCTCCTCATCTCTCCTTTCGGCTAGAGACTTCTCAACGGCGCCCACAGTACGACCACCAGATTTAGTCGTTCTCGGCTGTGCCGCCTTTTCAATCTCCTCGCGTTTCAAACGATCCAAGCTAGCCTTGCGCCGGGCGGATTCTTCCTCCTCAGTAGTTTTGCGTTCTTTCTCGGCCCGGCTGTCGGCCTCGGCTTTGGAGACTGCTGATGGAACCTTGGCTGCTTCCCAGTCCCATTTTGACTCGCCGAGATCGTGGCGGGCAATGCGGAAGGCATCGCGCGTGGCTCGGTCGCCGGTGAGTTCAAATGGAGTTCTGCCTTCGTTGTTGACTGCCGTTGGATCAGATCCAGCTTTTGTGAGGAGGGCCGTGACTACGGCTGGTGTATCAAGGTTTGCGGCGAGATGGAGGGGTGTGGGGCATCGGAAGTTTTGTGGCGTGTCGCCGGGCGTGAATGTGAAAGATGAGGGTATGGAGTTGTTTGAAATATAGGACATGAGGGCGGGGACCTTTGAGCGGCGAATGAGTGCCTGCAGTTGGGATGTGTGCAACAAGGCAGCTTCCTCTTCTTTCGAGAGCTTCGGCTTCTGTGGTTGCGGTTTTTGAACAGGCGTAGATGGTTTTGATTCCTCCTCTCGCCGCTTGGCTTCAGCCGCAGCCAGTGCAGCTTGGTCCACCTCACTGACCTTCAATCGGGTCAACTCCTTGAAGGACCGCATGAGCTCTCCTTGAGTTGCGCGGCGAGTATTGAAGGGGAACCCTCGAATTCGGGGGTCGTTCTGCCTGAGGACCTGCCCGTCATATTGACCGAAAAGAGTCTTTCGATTTGTCTTTCCCGTTGCTCGGACGAACAACAGCTCGGCTGTATCGATCATCTCTCGCCAATCTGACAACACCTCTCTAATATCCTTCTCAAGTGCAGCCTCGTTGTACCGGCGCAGACTTGAACCAGCCGAATGCGCAGCACCGCGTGACGCATCACTAGCAGACTGCGAGCCACCCTGCTTTCGACGCGTCGTGTATCGGTGGAACGTTTTGTGCGCAATGACCCGAGCCTGCCTGTCTTCCACTCCACCTTGCTTTCGGTGAATCTCCGGTGCTAGAGAAACCAACATAGCTGCGAAGTGGCCACCGCCGATCATGCACATGAAAATGTGCGGGCCAGAAGCAGCGGGGTCCGGCACGTTGCTTGCCTTGTTGGTGCGCGCTTTGATTGGCGCAAGCTGCTTTCGTCGCAGAGTATCAACCAGGTGAGCGGGATCTTCCTGCTCGGCATTTGAGAAAATGGCCCTGTAGACGCCTAGGGACTTGTTTGATGGCAATCCCGAGCTAGATAGCCAGAATATGGGGTGCTTCGGAGTGATTGGTGTCTCGGTCATATCCGGGTCCTCATTCGGGTGGGACAGCTTGGCCTGCTTTTTCAGCAGAGCGGACAGCGTTGTGCCCGCGGTCCCTTCTGCCTCTTCCTCCTCTGACTCCTCTGACTCAGAACCAGATATAGACTCGTCTAGTTCTCCGATCGCCTTCGCAAATTCGACTTCCTCCAGAGGCGCATTCCCGCGTAGCTGGGCTTTGATGTTATACCGGTGATGGTCCGAGCGAACATGGCTACGCTGTTCCTGTACGCTGTTGTAAGAGACCCTGCAGAGGGAGCATAGTGTGGAGGTTGCGATCGCAGAGTCCTGCGCTGCTAGTTCAAGTTCTATCGGAGAGGGTCCGGGTTCTTCTTCAGCGACAGGTTGACTTGTGGTCTTGGCCGTTAAGCTTGCAAGAAGTTCCGGCGGCAGATCGTACACTGGAAAGATCAGCGGGATGGGCCAATGACCATATGGAGTTTTGGAGGCATACCATAGAGAGGCCTTTTCAAGAGCTCCTCCATTTGAGTCGTGTCGACCATGATGGGCTGGGCGAAGAATGTGTATTGCGATCGTGCTGCCCCTCCAATGACGCTGATAAATGGGCTCTTACCGCCTAAGAGTAATGCGGGCACTATGTGGACTGGGCTTCGTCGTCAGTTTTATATCTGGATATTGAAGTAGCAACGATCCTGAGTCATATTGTGAAACTTCGCTCAGCCTCCTTTAGGACGAAAATGTTCCTTTTTCATGAGTGACTCTCGGCTTGTGGGCTGTGCTCGCAGATATCAACGAGTCGGCCTCCCGATTAGGAAATTACACCCATGGGCCTAATTTTCCTGTTCCCTCGTTATTGTATTTGATGCCTTTGTATAGCATCAAGTTGTGGCAATGACTCTTTTCTCTAGCCCTATTTCTATCTACTTTATGTACGCTTTTTCTGTACCTGGTGTTATCACGTGATTTGTGAATAAAGTGTGTCGGTGACGTCATGATATTTGCATTGTTTAGCTATATCTATACGATGTCTACTTCATATGTTGTACAATAGTCCACCCATATTGTACTCGCCTTTCAAGTATGGTTTTTTTAATATAATGCGGATCAACAGCAGTAATCTATCCAGGATTTGACCCCTATTCGAATGTTCCCGGTATTGGATGTTGATGAGACTGGATCTGACGAAGAGCTTCTAGAAACAAATGGTTGTGGGATGGGAGATACCTATGCTTCGGTAAGCCTCGAACATTAGTCAGACTGTTTAGACCTAAAGAGATATTGATACCAGAGCTACCAGGGCCGGAGTCTAAAACGGAGACCTCAAGATGTATGGTGGAATGCCGATTGAAATTGGAGAGAATCGACGAAGTTATAATCTACGCACTGAAAAGCCATGGATAATATCAAAAATAGGAGGTAGCCCTTGCTCCGCTTGGCGTAACCAACGTCTCGTTAGCCAATGCCTCGTCAGGAAGTACCCCAGGAGCTGTAACACAAGGAAGCCAGAAGTCTTGGTAAGTAATCAGCTGGTCCTCTACCCACAGACGCCAGCGACCAATTTGGAGGCCCGCCGTTTTTGAGTCGTAGGGTGTAGTGAGCCATGTGTAAAAAGGGTCAATCTCCAAAATGGCTCTTCCTGCAATGCCTGGTTCTTGACTTGATACCTGCCGGCTCGTACGTGTATAACCCAGGATGATGCCATTTCCACCGGAACCAGGAACAACGTTTGCTATCTTCTGCACGAGCTCTTCGGCGCGCGTTTGATATCTGAATGTGGTGGAAATGCCAAAGTTCCGTCGATCCCAATCTGTGGTGAAGGGTGTGAGGACAAACACTTTAGGTGCGTAGATTGCATTCAGGACACCAGGGCTATGGTCTGTTCCAATCAAATCAGTTACAATTTGTGCAAATATCGTTCCATCTCGGAGGGAATTGAATGCAGTTATCGTGAACAAGTTGCCATCGGTTGGATTGAAGGCCTCATCAACAAACACAGGGCTCTCCCAAATGTGTGAAATGTAAACACCCTTTTCGGATGCTATGATGACTGCTGTGCATCCATATATGCCTTTGACTCCTACAGCTGAGTGGCCATATGATGGATAGTCAAACCATTGTGCAGATACCAATCCAAGCTGGTCAATCCAAACTGGTGTCAAGCTCTCGACGTAGCTGCTGTAGGGAGGAGAAACGCCCTGGAAAGCATAGGAAGTTAAGGAACTGATCATCATTATCTTATCTTGACCTTTAGAGAGACTTGCCTTGGAGGCAGGCTGTATTTGACTTGCGACCCCAGTACATGTAGCAATCCCATAACCTTCGGCTGGTAGAATATCGGTGGCAGTAGTTGAGGGTGAGCAGGTTGTTATAGAGGCAGTGGAATCGTCACTAATAAAATCCTCCAGGGTGTCGCTAATGGCTTCAGTACCATCCGTATTGATGTTATCTGAAACGATCTCTAACCTCTCCTCGAGACAGGAGGATGTGGTTATGGTGTCTCCAACAGAGCACATTAAACCTCTCTTTCTCTTTGCACCACATTCCGAGGACGAAGAAGAGTTACCCAGGTCAAATGTGAGATCTTCAATCTCACTCTAAGCACCTTTGACTTGACGGAGGGCTTCCAATCTGAGTAGAGTTGAAGACTATAGTGTGGGAGGATATAGCAGACACATTTAATGCTGCTCTGGGGCTTTGGATAGTGATTGGAACTGGTGAAGGCAATTTCCCTAGTGCTGGTACTTGCTGATGATGTCTCACTCAATACTTAAGGAATGGTGTTGCTTTTACTGTTCGAGTAAAGTAGATTTTGCATTGGACACCTTTGATTCTCACAGAAGAAGTAGGGGAAGAAGATTTCGTGATAGTAAATGGCAAGGTGTACCCCTACTTTCACTGATACTAAAAGGAATAACTATAATATAATGCCTAGACTATCGCGTTGCAAGAGCTGTATGCAGAGCTACTGGTGGAGACAATGACAACAAAGCTTGTTTGCTTGGGCTTAGATACAATAGGATTGGTGAGCTTGTTGTTAACACCACTTTCTATCACTAAAAAGCCGAAGTATGTCATTAGAGTCAGTAATGAAGGATCTCTATTTACAGCCCTGTCTTCCTGGTAAGATTTCAGTCTCAAGGATGAGTTCAAATAAGACCACTGGAACAGAGCTGGCAAGGAGATACCTACACAGTAACTATCAGCCCGACCGACTGCGGACTTCGTGTCGTTATGTCAAGTTATTTAGACTGAAGAATGATTAATGAATTAATGTGTTGATCTTCGAGGCATATACGTACCCCGATCAACCCACCTGGGCATAATGTTGATTTCCCAACTAATCAAGGCCTGGATCCTTGATTGGCCAGTACATATTCGAACACAGTCGTTTATTTAGGCCGTCACATGACTATCATCAAAAGGCCCATTCCCTGATCAATCTCTCAACTTGGACAAAATCCGGGATATAGGAGACGAGAATTTACCATCGCTGTGGGCAACATGTCTTCACAACAGCAACTTCAAGAGCAGCTAATGCTAAATGCACGTCGACATCAAATGCAGATGATGGCTGCTAGGCAACAACTGAGCACCAGCAGCAACAATGACACTCCTTTACGACAGCAAATGCGGCCTCAATCAGGGACAATGGGGTCTAAATATGATGACCTCCCCATACTGAATCCCGCTGACATTATCTTCATCGGTGAAAATCCCAAGTCGGTTGGTGAAGTTCCCGCCTTCTTCGGGTCCTTTGAATCTGCCTGCCAGCACGGCCCCCTTTCCGTCATTCAATCCATTGTCTCACCTAGAAATCTCACACCCGCTTTTCTTCACCATGGCCTAACACGTGCCCTGCGCTCTGGCAATGTTGAGGTTGCTCGTTATCTCCTTGATAGTGGCGCACCAATAGTTCGCGAAACTCCAAGCAACATCTTCTTTGTACCTTTGGAACATCAAATTGCACTCTTTGAGCTCTTTACCCAGCACGGATGGACTCCCAATACTCCAGGTTACTACGGCCGTACTCTTCTCCCTCGGACCGTCAAGAGCCTCCCTCTTCTTCGTTGGTTCCTCGACCATGGAGCCAATCCCAACCTTGGGGCGCAGCGAACCAGCCATGATAGGCGTGGTGGGCCAGATACTTCCTCGTGTGCTGCACTCGAGGCAGCTGCAGTTCATGGAGGAGTTGAGGCTGTGCGTATGATTCTAGATGCGGGCGCTAGTATTCAGAACGGCGTACCGCTACACTATGCCTCTGGGGCTCGTCCTCCCGGCACGAATCCACATGCTGGTCGTGTGGGACCGAGTCAGGAATTCGATACCAGTAGAATTCCAGTAATGGCACTACTGGTTGAACGTGGGGCTGATGTTAATCAGAAAGAAGAGTCCCGACATATGGTCCTACAGTACGCGATTGTGTATGCGGTGATGGCAGGAGCAGTTGAGCGGGTCAAGTGGTTGTTAGAGCATGGGGCAGATCCATATATAAGAGGGAACTGGGGTAGCGCAGCTGAGTATGCACATAACTCAGGGAATAAAGAAATAACAAAGGTCATTGAGGAATTTATGAAAGAAAATGCTTGAAATCCAAAATTTTTCTTCCATATATGTAGCACCAACCAAGAGATATATATTGTGCTGTAATGTTTTGGAATTTAATTATTTGTAGAAGAAAAGGATATAAGACGATTCTACATGTGCACACTATACAAATACAACACACATAGTATATCTTAATGACCAGCATTATAAACATTTCTAGAAGCCACCAACCCCAACATTGGCAGAATGCAATTGATAAGCCAACCTTGGCAAATAGCCGCATCGGTCTTAGTGCGTGCTTATCCCCGAGGATTACGTCGTTCCCGATCACGTGAGAGCATGGGAAAATTTGTAGACATGAGGTTATCCAAGGTCTAGTAATTTGTTAATATGTTACTCAAGTATGCAAGAACTCCAACCCTGCCTCCATGTGTACATGTACGATGTAATAAGTCCGACTTCATAGGAATGAGCACGGTAAGTAGCCCCGAACTCGGGATTTCCCCGTCGTAAAGTGGAGCTGGGTTCTTGCTTTTAGTCAGCAGCTTAGCTCTTACACCAATACCTCCATTCTCCCTTTGAGGTTCTCCAACGTATCTTTTCTTGCTTGTGCACAGAAAGGTATACTGGGACGAAGTCACTAAGAAAAATGCTGGATGGCCAATCCCAGGTGGTACTAGAGGCGTCCCGCCCGGGGCACCTCTTGCATTCCCTTGGATCGGCACTTGATTCCCGGCGACAGCCTTTCTGTACTGATAGCGAGGGCTGGGGCCCCATCAGCTCATTGAGATTCGATCTGACGCCATGCTTTCTTGACGTGACTGTGGCAGTAGTGGCAGTCTTGGGTACGCTGGGCGGATTCGCCGCCTTGTGGTTGTTACTGAGGAAGCGGATTCCGCAGCCCGTATCGAAGAATTGGCATTTCTACACCAAGTTGGTTAGTACATGCCGGACACCCTCGCACACCCGTGGACGTCATTGATAATGTACTGACTGGAATTTTGCTTATAGGCCGTTCTCGCCGCCCTCATCGTCGTCACCGCTCTTCAAGCTGCGATCCAAGTCGAATCAGACCCCAAAAGCTTTTGGGCCGATTTTCGCTTCTGGTCCTCGGTCCTAACGATCATCTCATTGGGAGTGATAACTTCAGTACAGTATTTCGAACACTGGCGGAGTAGACAGCCCAATGGGGTTGTCCTATTTTACTGGCTCTTCTTCATTATTGCCTATGCGGTCAAACTCAGGTCCCTGATTGCGCGGAAGCAATACATCGACCAACTCCCTTACTTTGTCTGCTTCAATGTCAGCTTGGGACTAGCAATCTTTGAATTTGTGCTAGAGTATTTCGTGCCCAAGAAGCAAAGCGATTACGATGCGCTGGGAGACGAGGATGAGTGTCCCTACAATTATGCCGATGTTTTCTCGGTTCTCACCTTCGGCTGGATGACCCCGATGATGAAGTATGGATACAAAAACTACTTGACTCAAGATGATCTCTGGAATCTCCGCAGTCGCGATACCACCCGAGCCACAGGCAATGCCCTGAAGGAGGCATGGGATGAACAGCTTGAGAAAAAGAAGCCATCTCTGTGGATAGCGCTCTTCAAGGCCTTCGGTGCCCCCTATATGCGTGGTGCGATAATCAAATCCGGAAGCGATATGCTTGCCTTTGTGCAACCGCAACTCCTACGACTTCTCATTGCTTTCATTGACTCGTATCGGGGCCCGGACCCGGACCCGATCATCAGGGGTGTCGCCATCGCCTTGTCCATGTTCGCTGTTTCTGTCGTCCAGACCAGTTTCCTCCATCAATATTTCCAGCGTGCTTTCGACACTGGCATGAGAGTCAAATCCGCCCTGACTGCTATGATTTATGCCAAGTCCCTGAAACTATCAAACGAAGGGCGCTCGGCAAAGACGACCGGTGATATTGTCAACCACATGGCGGTTGATCAGCAGCGCCTTTCAGATCTGACCCAGTTCGGCACTCAGCTTATCTCTGCACCTTTCCAAATCACACTGTGCATGCTCTCCCTTTACCAGCTTGTTGGAGCGAGCATGTTTGCTGGTATCGGAGTTATGATTCTTATGATTCCTTTGAATGGCATCATTGCTCGGATGATGAAGAGGTTGCAGATCATTCAAATGAAGAACAAGGACTCAAGGACCCGACTGATGACTGAGATTCTGAACAATATCAAGAGTATCAAGCTCTACGCCTGGAACACGGCCTTCATGAACAAACTTAGCCATATCAGAAATGATCTCGAGCTGAACACGCTCCGCAAAATTGGAGCCACTCAATCCGTTGCCAATTTTACCTGGCAGTCTACCCCTTTCCTCGTGTCCTGCTCCACATTCACCGTCTTTGTGTTGACAAATGATAAACCCTTGACTACTGAGATTGTGTTCCCTGCCTTGACGTTGTTCAACTTGCTCACATTCCCGCTTTCTATCTTGCCTATGGTCATTACGTCCATTATCGAATCCTCCGTGGCCGTGCAGCGATTGATAGAATATTTCACTGCAGAGGAGCTGCAGACTAATGCTGTTGTCTTCCAAGATCCCGTCGCGCATCCCGGTGACGAGTCTGTCCGAGTTCGCGATGCCTCGTTTACTTGGAACCGTCATACTGGGGAGACTGTGCTGGAAAACATCGATCTCAGTGCACGCAAGGGAGAGCTCAGCTGTATTGTTGGCCGAGTTGGCGCTGGAAAATCCTCTCTGCTCCAGTCATTGCTGGGTGACCTGTGGAAGAACCAGGGAGAGGTGGTCGTGCGTGGTCGAATCGCGTACGTCGCCCAAGCGCCGTGGGTCATGAATGCCAGTGTCCGAGAAAACATTGTCTTTGGACACCGGTGGGACCCCTCATTCTATGATCTCACCGTCGAAGCCTGTGCTTTGCTCGATGACTTCAAGAACTTGCCTGATGGTGACCAGACCGAAGTCGGAGAACGTGGCATCTCCC